ATCTTTTGTCTAATAAAATTCTGTTTCTTTCCTGTTTGGAGCTTTATTATCTGAGTGATTACCTTGACCTTAACTTTCAACATTTCTGAAAAATTGTGAAAAAAAAAAAAAAAGAAAATATATATATATATATATAATATCTTCATCTTCCAAGAGTCTTTTTTGTTCTCTAATCATTCCTTTTTCGCAGCACTGCTCATGTTTTACAGATACGGCATCTCCCTGAGTTCTGTTTTAAAGTTCTCTTCTGGCTATGAACTGTCTCTGCTTCCTCAGAGGTCTCACTTTCCGTCTGTTTATCTTGGTCTTTCTTTTTCATATTTCAGGCTTCCTCAAATAGCTCCGGCTCATGGTTGCCCATTCATATTTAAGAATGAAGCGGTAGAAAGTTTCCTGGCCGCCCCGCAGGCCTGGATCAGGAGAGATGAATGGTGGGCTTTGTTAGCAAGCGAGCTGGGCTTTGTGCATTGAAACTCCTAAATGTCAGCCCGCAATGGGCTTTGTTTAAGACGCCACCTTAAAGTCCAGCTGTCCTCGTCTCCTGCAGACTACTTAATGTCTTTAAAGAAGACCCTTCGTCTGCAAGGAAGGGGCGAATCGGGGGTTCAGCTGACACCTGTCTCTGCAGTCCAGGTCGGGGCAGCGCGCTGCTCTCTTCACAGACTTGCAGAGAAATCCAGCCACCAGTGAGCCCGGCGTGTCCAAGCCCCGAGCTTCCCCAGGCTTCCGAGGGCTGCGAGGCTGACCCTGAGCATCCAGACGCTGTCCTCGCCCGTCGGCTAAGTCACCAGCCTGGTCCACCAGCCGCCTCCTGAAACGTGCTGGGAATTCACTTGTCCACAAGTGCAGCTCCCTAGTGTCTTCTCTGGAAGAATTTATGTTTATTACTTAGATAAGCGCATTTCTGGAGAAAGAGGAAATAAGCCGTGTGCATTAATCAGTCCCCTTGGAGTGGAAATCCTGTCTTCCTTCTAACAGAGAGGGATGGACGTGGGACGTGCTCTCCTTTACAGTTTTATGAGGTGCGGTTGAAAAATATGGGGCATGTTTACATTTTTTAAAAATGTATTACACGAAAAGCCACATCGCCGTTAACCCCCCATGAAAAGACATTCCCTGCCTTCTGAACGCATTTATCGCATCTTGCCGGCCACTCTCTAAAGCAGGCCTGGAAGTCTTCTTTCCCATGTGGCTTTCGTTGTGGCGTGGTGGCTGCCTGGACGGCCTGAACTGATTCAAAACGTTTCCCTTTCATGGTCATTTTGACTTTGGGGAGGAGCTAGAAGTCATACGACACCAGATCCGGTGGATACGGTGAGTGAGGACACAGCGAGGTGGTTTTCACAAGCCTGCTTTTCTGCTGGCTGGCACTCAGCAGCAGTATTCCCTGTATTTCTGATTATGTCTCATAAAGACACAAGAAAGAACTAGCAGACCTGCCTCAGAAAGAATGATAGATAAAGGTGTTTAAAGCAAGGAGGAGCACTCTGAGGGGGAGTTCATGGCAACGTGGTTTTCTTGTTTTGCTTTGTTCTTTGTCTTTTTGAGACAGGGTGTCACTCTGCAGTGCAGGCTGGCCTTAAACCACTTTGTAGCCCAGGCTGGCCTTGAACTTGCAGAGATCCTCCTGCCTCAGCCTCCTGAGTGCTGGTATTACAGGTGGGGACCACCATGCCCGGCTATGGCCATGTGTTTTTACTGTAAGAAATTGTATTGTACTTCAAAGTACCTCATATTTTTGATCAGCCTTTGTGTATGGACACATCTGAGCAGACTGTAGTCTTTTTAATCAATGCAACACAGGGCTGGGGATTTAGCTTATGGGCTGGGGATTTAGCTCAGCGGCACAGCACTTGCCTGGCAAGTGCAAGGTCGCGAGTTCAGTTCCCGGTACCTGAAAAACAAAACAAAACAAAACAAACAAACAAAAAAATCAATGGGACACCTAAGAAATTCAAAAATATGCACAGATACGGGAGACAAGCTTTTTTATTACATAGCACACACTTCAGTGTCTGTTGACTATATTTTAAATACGAGACTAGAGTCATACGTGTCCTTAAGCCACCTCTCCAGAATCCTAGGAATTTTATAGAATATACTCAAGGAACCACTGGCATCTTAAAACAGAAAAAAAACTGCACATGGAATCTGGGATGTAAACAACCTGATTCAAATCCTGATTCAACCATCTGCTTCCTCCGTGGGTTTTCTGGCTTCAGCAGCAGCCGCTCCCCGGATTGTTTCCAGGGTTCAGTGAGATCATACAGATGCAGTGCTCCTGGCTGGGCGGTCAATAAATGCTAATGCAGCCAGGTGTGGTGGTGCATGCCTGTAATCCCAGCACTTCGCAGGGGGAGCTCTATGAGTTCCAGGGCCAGCCTGGGCTACATAGTAAGACCCTGTCTCACGAAACAGCAAAGTAACATTAGAATTGAATTGAATTGCAACAAACCGAACTGGATTACGGCAGCCTTCTCCCACTGCCAGGCTGAGACAGGAAACCCAAACTATGACCCAGGCGGACAGATCCTAACTTGTCCCATGCAAACACTTTGTTCTTTTCTTGCGGGAACTTCTGAGCCGCTGTCATGATGACCTCCACCCTCGAGCCGAGCCCAACACTTTGCCAAGTCCGAGTAAGCACGTTCCTCTTCGCGACAGCTTCGGTTTGGCTCGGCCTGGCCCCCGGAAACAGGGATGGGGGGACGGTCGGGCGGGATGTAGGTCGCCTGGACCTCTGCGAAGCACCAGGGCGGGAGGCTGTGCACCCAGGGATGACACGTTCCGCCCCCGGGGCAGGGCGCGTGTCCCCTCTCTCTCGCTCTCTCTGCTGTTCTTCTCTGCCTCCTTAGGCGGCACAGGACGAGGGAAACGTCTTGTGCTCTGGCCTCCCCGGTCCTCCGCTGTAATCCAACCTGCACCGGGCAGCCTCAGGCAATCAGTCAGGCGGAAAGCAGAGTCAGGACAGCGGGGAGCAGAGCCTGAGGGGAGGGAGACGCAGGCCCCGCGGCAAGCCCTTGGTCCAGCGAGGAACGCGGAGCCCCGTCCAGAAGCAGCCCCGGGTCTGGTGGGAGCTCCCCGTGGGAGACAGCCCCCCCACGGAGAGGACACAGCCGCCGTCTCTTGTCACACGCGATCGATCGCTCACAAAGCACCACCCGGGACCCACTCTCAAAGCCGCGCTGTGCTCAAGGGCGTGACCCTAGGGCATCACTTCCAAGCAGCTCTGCTGGTTTATTCCAGTGTCTTAACCCTGAGGGGCCCGCTGTCCCGCCCTGGGTCCCAAGCTCTTTCCTCCCCCTCCGCTCTGGGCCTCGTCCCGACCCCGCTTCCCTCCCCGCTCCTCTCCTCAGCTCCACATCAGGAAATCTCAGCGGCTCAGGACACCCGGAGTGGCCCGCTCTAGGCTCCCCGGAGCACAGGCTGGGACCCCACACACCGTCAGCGGCCCTCCTGCCCGCTCGTGTTAGCTCATCAACCCACAGCCCCCACGAGGGTGACACTGCTATCCCTGCTCTAGAAATGAAAACCTTAAGGCTTCAAGGAACCAGCAGGAGGCCCGGACCCAAGCCTGCCACGCCTGGCCCACCCAGAGACGAAGCCGGCCCAAACATCCCCGCCCCTCGTGGTGTTCTCCCGAGAAGGCAAGTGACTCAGGGCTGGAGGCAAGTCTCCGTGGAAGCCTTCTCCGGGTGTGGCGGATTCTTCCCAATGCCCCGGGGCACGCATGCCTGTGACTCCACTGCGTCTGCGTGTGGGTGAGGTGCGGTGACCGCAGGGAGCTCCAGCCAGCGTCGGCCCGAGGCTCTGTGAGGGAGGACATTCCTCACGGACGCTCATCGGGGCGGGGGGCAACCCAAGGAAGGTGTCTAGGAGCCCGGCTGAGGGTCAGAGCGGTCAGGACAGAGGCGTGGACCAGGCTGAGGTCTATTCCAGGGCGTGACGTCCTGCTGCTGGGACCACTGGGGGTGCGCCTTCCACAACGCGAGACCGTGGCCCCTCTCACCACTGAGAAACTGAGGCCACCGAGGAACCCTCACCAGGCCAAAACTGAATGCTTCCGACCTTCCACAGCCCCCAAGTCAGCCAGGCTTCCGGGATACAGCTGGATACAGCCCCACACCCCACCCTGTGTCCCCAGCTCATGCCAAGGCTGTCGCAGAGGGGCTTTGACGTTCCTTGCTTTTCTGGGGCCACCAAAGGACTCTGGTCTCTGGACCCAGGCTCCTTGGGTTCTGGCAAGGGAAGTCACTAAGCCACTCTGTGAATTCAAACGCGGCTTCTCCCCGAGGCCCCCTTCTCCCCGACCCCCAAATTCCTGAACCTGCTGACCTCTCTCCCTCACTCACCCTGTGGCTCTGCCTGGCCCAATTTGTTTGTTTATTTGTTTTGGTTTTTCTTCCGGTACCGGGAATCGAACTCATGACCTTGCGCTTGCCAGGCAGGCCCTATGCCGCTGAGCTAATTCCCCAGCCCCTTGCCCGGCCCAATTTGAAGGCTGGCTGTCCTCAGCCCTTCTCAGGGACCTCGAGGCCCTCAAAGACACAGGTCCCCCATGCCCTCTGATCCTCCAGTGCCCGGGGCCCCGCTTGGAAGGATTGCTGCATCAACACCCCCTTCTCTTCCTTGGACACCTCATCAAGCTGCCAGACACCACTGCCTTCTTTCAGGTCGAGGGGCTCCACCACATCCCACAGGAAGTCAGGGCTGACAGGAGTCCCACCCTCCCCACAATCTACAGGGCTTGGCCGACACCAAAATGTAGTGAGACCAGCACAAGGAACGGCGTTGGCATCGGCTCACAGCCCGCACTGGAGAGAGCCAGTCCTGGCGGGGGCAGGGGGTGGCCAGGATGACGTCCGGCCAGCAGCCCCGGGGACAGGAGGTGGCGCTGTCTAGGCGCCTCCCTGTACGCTCAGTGGGGTCTTCTGTACCTGGGCTCCTGGGGTCTGTCTGCACGACAGGCCCGTGGTCCAGGTCACCCGCACTGCAGGCGGGGGTGGCAGTGCATGACCAGGTGCCCAAGCTCTTGGGTTCTTAGCAGCGCCCCAACCCGGACCCCATTCACACCACAGCCGGAGTGGGCTCCGGGGCTGCGTGGGTGCAACGGGCAGAGCAGGTTCTGCCAGGGAGCACCCCAATGTCGGCACAGTGCTCAGCATCAGAGAGGCAGGTAAAGCGGTGGGGGCCGGAGCCCCGCACACCCAGGGCCGACCCGTACAGGGGATTCCCTGGAAGCTCCGAGGGGTGACTCAGAGGGAGGCCTCGGGGAAGGACGGGAAGCATCCTCGGCCGTGGGAGACCCAGGGACCCCCAAGACTCCCTCCTCGGGCAGGGCATGCCTGCGGCAGGCGGGGGGTGGAGGCCCCGGGTGTGAGCAGTGCCCAGGAAGCCCTTCCAGGGGCTGTGGGGCAGAGGCAGGAAGGGAGGCAGAGCCAGGCCCGGACCCTCAGGGGCAGGGACAGGCTGGGGGGTGCGGGGAGATCCCTGGGGCATTGTCCTGCAAACGATGACGGTCCCATCCCGTGGGGGGACCCCGGTGGGGCCTTTCCCAGGGCCTTGTCCCCTCCCACACAGCGCTTCCTTCTCCCTTCGGCTCAGCCATCGAAGCTCCCCAGGGGTCACACCTTCAGCCTGGCTGGTGGGCTCCACCATGTCCTCCGAGGGGGACAGTGAGCCGCCCCCACCCCAGGCAGAATGCCGCAGGCTCCCTGGGACACAGCGCAGAGCAGACTCACGGGAGAGGACAAACCCCCCACTAAGCACGAGCGCCTCCCCAAGCCAGCCGTGTGCCTGCGTCATCTCCCCTATCACCTCCAGCTGCTTCCGCTCCTGCTGCCGCAGCCTTGGGACCAAGCTGGCTCCCGCCTTCCTCATGCGGCTTCCGCTGTGCTACGATCTTTCACAACATAATGTCCCCGTGCTGCTTTACCTGCGCTGCTGTTCCGCACGGCTGGTGAGTTAAACCCAGAGTGCCTAGCTGGGTGCACAGGGCTGGTGCCTGGAGTCCCTTGGCGTCAATGGTGGGAGCCCTGCATTCTATTGCACCAGCTGCCCTGAGGTTTCCTCAGCTCAATGGATCACTCCTGCTCCTACCTCAGGACCTTTGTACTTGCAGGTGCTTCTGCCTGCAAACTCTCCTCTCCCCTTGACTCCCTTTGCCTGGCTAACTCCTATTGTGGTCGGGTTTGGGGTCCCCTGGGAAGGCTGCCTGACCCCATCCTTCCCGGCCGGTAAGGATACATTTGCACACCTGTTTCAGGTGGTCTGCCCTCCATCCTCCTTCTCTCCCCGCCATCACCTGGCTGCCCAGGGCTGGGATCTGGGAATCTTGAGCAACGGGCAGCCCTGCCCTGTAGCGAGGACTCAGAGGAAGCGGCGCTGGGCGTGGAGCACACTCACCTGGAAAGAGAAAGCTGGAGAGCACTGGGAGGGAGATAAGGTGGTCAGAAGGCAGGAAATGAGTTGCCGGGCAGCTGCGAACTGAGGCTGCTGATCAAAGGCACAGGAAGTGGGCTGGTTTGTTCCATAACGGAAGAATCTGATCAAAGCCGCACTTTCCTGCCTGGGTGGGGCGGGCAATTCACCCACTTATTCATTCAGACCTGGGCAGTTCCTGCGGCCCTTCATCAGTCACAGAGCACCTGTCTGTGTGCCAGGCGCTGTGCTCGGCCCCGGGTGAGTAGAAGCGGCTCGCGCCCTTCCCCCTCCGCCGCGCTTAAGGGCGTCCAACCTCCCGCCTGGACCGCTTTCCACCCCAGCCGCAGTCCAGGTAATGAGTCACAGGCAGCAGTCTCTAAAATGCAAACAGAACGGAACAGAAAACGTCAGCAGATCCCACACAGGAGGGAGGCACACTTGGTCCTGTGTGTTAGGAGACCCCGGTCCCCTGTAAGAGGCATTTCTTAGCTGCGGGTCACAATCAAAGAACGTTTGGAAAACGCCCGACTAAGCATTATTGAAATAATTCCATGTTCACAAGCCTCGAAGCAAAGCCAAGGATAGGGAGCACAAAGAAATAGTCAGAGTTCTGTGAGACAAGAGAACAGTAGGACCCATCTGGGCTGGGCCGTGCAGCAGGCAGGAAGGCCTCCCCGGGGGACAGGGCGCTTGGGACAGGAGGAGGGGAGGAGGACGATGACCAAGGGGAAGGGGAGACGGAGGACTGCTGGAGACTTGGGGAGCGGGGGACCCGGGGATGTGGGGGTGTGGGCCTGTCCAGGAACAGCAGAGACAGAGAGGACAGTGGCTCAGAAAATTTCAGAGGAGGAGCAGCCAGGGTGGGAAGGCCGAGAAGGCAGCGGGGTGTGGGGGTGGAGGGAGCGGCAAGAAGGGGCCTGGGGGAGAGCTCGGTCTCCACCCCAAACCCAGGAGAGGCCTGGGGGTTTGTTCCAGGGTGCACCCAGCCAGAGCTTGCGCAGCCGCCTGGCCCAACCCGCTGTGAAGCCGCCTGCAGGCTGGGCTGGGTCAGGCAGCTGTGTCCAGCCACACGCCAGACCGGAAGCGCTTCCCGCAGGCTGTCACCTGCCGCCACCCAGCGCCTCGGGCCGGCAGCCGTGCGCAGCCGCGGTGACCAAGATGAGCAGGGTCGCTGGCTAGGGACCTGGCTGCTGGAGGCCCTGGAGGACAAAGGGCAAGTGACACAGAGCAGGGCCCATGGGGGCCCAGAGGGATGCTGGTGGCACCTCAGGGTGGGGAGCTCCGTCCCACCGTGAGAACTGTCCTTCTTGAGGGGCAGAATACATGGCCTTCATCACCCAAGTCCGTGGGTCACTGCTGACAGCTGGCACAGCTGCACAGGGGCCCAGGACGGGGGTCCCAGTGGGCACCCGGGCAGGAGATGCACACTGGCCCTCTGCCGTGGTCGCCCTCTGCAGCCCCCAGAGCACCCTAGGGTCCCCTGTGGCCTCTGCGTTTGATTTAGGGTGATGACCCTCAGATCCCTAACTCCAGCCCTCTGATCTCCAACCCTACGTCAGCTGCCACCCAGCCCTCTTCCCCTGCTGCCCCGTGAGCGCCTCAAAGCGGGCTCCGAAGGGCATCCACGGAGTCCCCAGCCCCACCATGAAACTCACGCTTCCACCTCCCTGTGGGAGCAGGGCACCCCGGTTACACAGCCGCCGGGAAGCGGCCCCTGCCAGTCGCAGCCCTGTTCTGTCCTCCTGGGGGGACCTCCCTGCCCTGCCCCCTCTCACCCCATCCCCCACACAGGTGTTGGCTGCCCCCCCACACAGGCCACCGAGACGCAGCCGAAGGAGCCTCCCGACCACAGGCCAGGCCCCGCCTGACGCCCTTCAGCCGTCGCACTCCTGAGAGCGCCGGGCCGGGCCCTTGTGTGGTGCACACTCGCACACTCGCACACTGGCCGCGCCGCACGCACCATCACCGCCCATGACCTCTGCTCTGTTCTCCTAACAAATACCCCTTCCTGTCCCAGCTCAGCCGGGCTCCCCAGAAAGCCCGACCTGATCCCCCGCCCTGGCCCCCCGGCGCTGCCCCGTCCTCCGGCCAGCAGAGCCACCGTCCAGCCGCAGCTGCGTCTCCCGCACCAACCGTGAGGAGTGGCTTCCCCTTTGCGTCTCCATCACCTGCACTGTTTCCGGGGTTCCCCCAGATGAAGAGGCCAGGCAGGGCGGACCTGGCTCTCCCCACATGGACCAGATGTCCATCTGCCATCTGCCGGGGTGACCCAGGGAGAACCGCTGCCCCCCTCCGAGCCTCAATCCCTCCATCTGGAGCTCACAGCAGTTCCACGCCAGCTCAGAGCTGCCGGGATTCCGGCTACAGCCCCACCAAAGACACGTCTGACGCCCATGCAGGGAGCGGGGGCGGTGGAGGAAGAGTGGTGCTTGGGCACAGCGGCCTCCGCCAGCCTCTGCCCTTAGCACCTGTTACCCTCCCCTGGCATGGGGGGCTGTAAGGAGAAAGGCGATAAGTTCCTCAAAGCGCCAGAGCAGCCCTGGGGCCCTCACCAGGCCATCGCTGACCTGGAGCCTTTCCCCAGGCTGAGGCTGGCGGAGGGCCGAGGGGCCAGGCGGACATGGGCAGGCACACAGGTGACCGCCGCGGTCCCACGAGCAGAGGGGGAAGCCGGATCCACCCTGAGGTCCAGGATATCCAAGTCCAGCGTTCTCATCACAGGACTGCAGAGCCCCTGCCCCCCAGACCCCTGCCTCCGTGTCCCCAGGTGACCCCACCGCATTCCTGCGGCTTGGGGTTTGCTGGCGTGGCGCGGTGACTGCAGTCTTGGCACCGTCCCTTGGAGGGCGGGGAGGGGCTCCAGGGGCCAACTGCTTCTTCCAATGAGATTCCCGTGGTCGCCTCCGCTGAGGCGGCTGCGGAGCAGAGAACAAACAATGTGGGATTCAAGTTCTCTGCAAAATGAGCCCCACCAGCGAGGATCTAAGCAGCTCGTGGTGCCAGACTGCACTGCCACTGCCCGCCCCAGCCCGTGCCCCCCCCTCCCGCTCGGCCTTCCCACTCGGAGGTTGAGCAGCCCCCTTTCTGGGCCCTGTGCTCCCTCCCTCCCCCACCCCCACCCTAGGACACCAGCACTGTCACCGGCGCAAGCTCTGGCTTTTCCTGGACTCTCTGACCTGATCAGAGACAGCGAGAGCATCCTCTAGGGATGGGTCCACACCAGCCGGGTCTGATGCGGCCACCACCGCCGGGCATGATTCAGGATCGGGTTGCAAAGACCAAGGGACGTGGCGAGACTGGCTGTCTCCCTGCAGCAGCGTCCAGAGTGACCTACGACACCAGGAGCACAGAGGAGAGACGGGCAAAGAGGCAGAGCCACCAGCTAACCTCCCCCCCGCCCCGGCACAAGATCGGCACAGATCCCAGCAAGAGAGGCCCGTGCGAAGCTGCACATGGTGGCGCACCCTTGTCATCCCAGCACTCGGGAGTCTGAGGCAGGAGGATCGTTGAGAGTTCGAGGCCAGCCTGGGCCACATAGCAAATTCAAGGGCAGCTTGAGCTATGCAGCGCTACCCTGTCTCAAAAAACAAAACAACAACAAAGAGAAAGAGCCCTGCACATGTGGTCTCCGCGCAGCGGGCAGGTACTAGCCGCAAGGGCTAAAGCACTCACACGGGCTCCGGCACAGATGACCCGGAGTCAGTGACAAAAGCCAGACACACCAAAGGTCACGTACCCTACAATCTCATTTACATCCAATGTCCAGATGGGTTAAGGCATGAAGATGGAGCACATATTCGCGGCTGCCAGGCCCTGGGGGTGGGTGGTGAGAGCTCCACGGGTAGTAAGTTTCCTCTGGGTGATAAAAATGTTCCGAACGACGCAGAGGTGGTGGTTGGTTGCACATACTGTGAATGTGACAAATGCCACCAGTGGTACATTTCCCTTCGTTTGTATTTCACAGTAAAAGGAAAAAATGAAATGTCTCTGCTCTGGGTCCTCGGCTGCCCAAGGGTCCGGCTCTGGTCACCGCGGGGCAAGAAGTCTGTGGGTTTTCGTGGATGCACCCACCAGAGCCAGGCTGTCCCGTATAGATGTCAACTTGCATGCAGACAACCGGGAAGTCCTTCCCAGACAGGCCCAAGCCTCCTCTAGGTTCCTTTCCCAGGGACAACCCGTGCCCTGGCCTAAGGGAGGGCTCCTTCCAGGGGAGGGACTGGAACTTGGCTACTCCAAGCTGGGCTGGCCTCTCCTGCAGCGGGACGCCGCCAGGATAAGCTGAGAAGGGTCAGGTCACAGGCCAGCGCTGACGGCCCGGATCCAGTCCTGCCTCAGAGGGCAGCTTCTGCCCTGGGACGGAGCAGAATTCCTCCTGGTCAGGGAATCATGAACTTGACCTGGGCCCCCACGGTCGCGGGGAAGGTGTATGTCAATGCAGATGGACGGGACCCATTTCACTCCGTTTGTGAGCGTGGCTTAAGACATTGGATCCTTGACATTGTGGTGTGCATTGCCCTTCCACTGCTGTGTAACAAGGAATCACAGATTTAGTATAAAGGAAAACCATACCCACTTACTAGCCCATAGCAGAATCCGCTTCTAGAGTCCTTTTCAGGCTGTTGGTAGAATTTATCTTCCTGTGGTTGTAGGATCTAGGTCTCCATTTCCTTGCTGGCTATCCTGAATCAAATCCTTCTTATGCTTCTAATCTCTCTTACCTGCCTCTTCTGCTACCAGGTGGAATAAAACTTCTTACAAAGAGCTCACCTGATTTGTCAAGGCCCACCAAGTCGTCTCTGTAACCTGACTCCCCTGACTTGGGACTTAACTACCTCTTCAAAATCCTGCTCTACCGGTACTTGAATTAGTCTTTGACTGGGTAACCATTCTTGGGTTACCGGGGCGGGGGGATCTTTAAAGATCTGGCACCACTGCTCGCTTCCCCCATGACCTTTAACCAGGCCCTGACAATGTCCAGGGGTGTCCACCCTTCTCTTCTTTCCCAGGGCTTCACTCAGGGGACGTTGCTTCACCTCGAGCACTTGGCCGGCCACACTGTCTATGGTAGTCCCAGCTCACCCTGAGTCCCAGGAAGAAACTGAGGCTCGGAGGTGTGAATCCATTTCCCAGTCTACGGGGGAATGTTAGGAGTCTAACGCCGGAGTCCAAACTTATTCCTACATCATGTTACCTCACCAAATCCTAAAGAATCCACATATGAAGTCAGTGGCAAGGAGGTGGGGACCCAGGGACCAACCCCTTCTACCCACTGCAGTGAGGGCCTTGACTTCCACTCCTGGGACCTCCCCAGCCGGCCAGCAGACAGGGAAGAGAGAGGGCAGGGCCGGTTCTCCAGAGCAGGACCAGGAGGTAGCGTGGTATGTCCACCTGTGCCATATCCAGTCTGGCTGCAGGGGACGCTGGGAAATGTTGTCCTGCCGCGTGCCCAGCAGGAAAAGGAGCTCGAATTTGAGGATCACACAGCATGGTGGCTTCCAAGTCCACTTGTGGGTCCAGGGGCGCTGAGGGCGGTCGGGGACAACAGAGCAGAGCTCCAGGAGGACCGACGGGAGGGGGCATGTGGGTGTCCGGGAAGGAGCAGGGTGGCCTCTCTCATGTGATGGCTCACCCTGCACGCAAGCCCACGCCTTGGGCACACAGCTGGCCAGGGCCCACTTCTCCTGGTCAGCTCAGTCCCTGCAGCTCTCACTCAGGGGGACGGGCACCAATGCCCCTGCAAGCACCCACACCTCTCCTCTCAGGGAAGAGTGAGAAGTCGTGGGGGGGGGGGGTCCCGGGGCCATGCCACACCCCACTTGGGCTGCTTGTGGACACAGAGGCCTGATTTCCTTCTGATCTAAATGGCGGTGTAAGAATCAGCAGGTTAGGACCCAAAGCCACACACAAACACTTTGGCCTAGAGAAGGCCACCGCGCTGAGGATATTTCGGGGCTGCCAGTCCAGTGCACGGAGCTGGGCTAGGGGATAGGCAGTCAGCCTGCACCACCCCCATACCCAGTCAGGAGAGGACCCGGGTTTCAGGCTGAATGGGGTCCATCCAGCGAGATTTCACCACTGAGCAAGGTTGCACGAACGGGAGAGGAAATTCTGGAACATAATATATATGCATCTCTTTTCTTTTCTGTTTGTTTTTGTTTGTTTGTTTGTTTGCAGGCTGGCCTTGAACTAACTATGTAGTCCAGGCTGGTCTCCAATTCACTGGGATCTTCCTGCCTCAGCCTCCCCAGTGCTGGGTACGACCTGAGGCAGAGGACGTGAAGAGAGTGACATCTACGTACACCCCGTCCACAGACACTACAGTCTAATAATGAGTGATTAGAACTAAATTACTCTTCTTTTAAAGGCATGATTTGCCAAGTAATGGTGCACATCTGTAATCCCAACTAATGCAGGAAGATGAGGCAGGAGCGTCACAAGTTCAAGGCCAGCCTGGGCAACTTAGCGAGACCTTGTGTCAAAATTTTAAAAACAAGGCCGGACATGGTGGCACACCCTGTAACCCCAGCACTCGGGAGGCCGAGACAGGAGGATCAACACAAGTTCAAGGCCAGCCTGGGCTACAAAGTTAGTTCAAGGTCAGCCTGTACTGCATAGCAAGACCCTGTCTCAAAAAGACAAAATTTAAAAATTAACAAATAAAACGGGCTTAGGATGTAGCTCAAGGTGAGGCCCTGGATTCTCAGCCAGGTACAACAAAGAGGGAAGGAAGGAAGGCAGGCAGGCAGGCAGGCAGGAAGGAAGGAAGGAAGGAAGGAAGGGAGACAAAAGGACAATTTGCCTAAATCTAAAATGAAACAATAGGAAAATGGCAGTTTCCCCCAATCTGAAGACAGTTTCATTTGGTGTATAACAAAGGAAAAAAAGCTCATAAATTCTACCTATTGAGTGCTGCTGTAGACATTTCCAAAAATGTAGTCTCTCTTCACCGGGATAAGGGTGAAATTAGCAAGAAAGCAGCCCCTTGAAAAGAAAAATAACAGGGGAGCGCATTTGGAGAGAGAGTTTGAAAGCGCTCCCATTGTTATATGATTTGTTGCTAAAAAAAAAAAAAATCGTGTACTCCCAAGATTCTTTCTTATCTGCCCTTCAAATAACAACCAAAAAAGAACATTTTAACTTGCTTAAAAATCTTCTAAATGAAGAGTTTGAGTGGGTTTAAAATCCATTTGCTGAAAGTATTAAAATGCAACATATTCCAATTTCTCTGCAAGAACAACTGATTGACGTGAGGGAAAATGGAAATTTGCGGGCCGATTTTGCACAAAATGTTTGCGTAATTGGCGGATGGAACTGAAAAGTAATGTCACGATTTAATGAGGTGAGCCCGCAACGCATCTTGTCCATCCCGATCGAGGTGTCTTCAGCTGTGACGGCCGTTAAGCCCAAACAGTGAAATAAACCAGGCTTAGGATGAAATGCGCAGATCATATTCCCACAAAGCATAAAACCAGGATTTTCAAAAATAAGCAGGCACATTCAATCACTCACGCTGCGGTCGGTGTGTGAGCAAAATCGTCTTTACCAAATGAAACACCATAAAAATTACTTCTAAGTGTTGTTCATCTTATAGCCCTTCTAGTCTTGCATTTCTAGTGATAGCTTTATTGTGTACATAGTCTATGTAGTTTATGAAGCTATGTAGAATGTGTATAACACATTTCATGATGTGTGTGTCTTTATTGTTGTTTGTTTTTTTGTTTTTGTTTTGTTTTTCTTCCGGTACCAAGAATTGAACTCACGACCTTGTGCTTGCCAGGCAGGCACCTTGCCGCTGAGCTAAATCCCCAGCCCCGTGTGTGTCTTTTTATAATGTGAGCGCTGATATACACTCGCACGTGTAGCTCGTGTGTGTGACTGCTAAGGTTCTACGGGTATCATTTATAAACAGCCCTCAGGGTGGATGCTAGCATTTTTACCGACAGGTATGTGGGTAATAAATTTTAAGTCTGAAGGTGTTGGCAGAGCCCAAGGGACCTCCTGCACTGGCTCTGTCCACGGCAAGGGATCCACCCTGTCCTGGGTGTGGACATTTATAACAAAGCTATTCCTGGACTGGGCCTCACCTGCCTGCACCGGCAAGGACATATGTGTTTTATAGGTAAGAAGTCAGAGATCCAGCTAGGTGTGGTGGCCCGTACCTGTAATCTCAGGACTCTGGGAGGCTGAGGCAGGAGAATGGCAAGCTTCAGCCCAGCTTGAAGTAGACTCCCCTAGCCTGCAGTAAGCGTCTCCTCACACTCTCCCCACCCCTCCACTCCGGGTCCAGGGGGCAGCCTCTGCAGCTCAGATGACACACCGATGCACACCAAGCCCCTGGCCAGCAGGGCTATGGGGACACCGGGTCACCTTTTAATGCCACCATCCATGGGGCACTGGGGACTACTTCACGGGGCTTTGCCCACCACCCTCCCAGGGTCCTGGCTCATTGACCAGTGCGAGACTGGACGTGGGGACACCAGGCAGGGCCGGCAGCCTGCGGGGGTCAGCACAAGACACGGCTACTGCCCTCACTGCAGACCAGCCTGCCCAGACCAGGCTCTGCCACCAGAGCCCCGCCTCGTGGCTGGATGTCCCCCAACACTGGGACCCCCATGGGGGACTGAAAGAACAGAAAGGGAGGGGTGGGTTCCTGCCTGCGTCCCCCCATGGGGCGTCCAGTACTGGAGCTGGGGGTGGTCAGTGGCGAGCAGGGCACAGCCACTCCGAGCTCCAGCTGCTCCAGCTGCGGCCTCTTGCCTGGCTGGACAGCCGGGTGTGAAAGGGAAGAAGAAGGAAGACAGGACCTGCTGCTTGCTTCCCAGGGCTCCACCCACCCCAGGGACCCTGCTTTGCAAGCTGACCCAACCCCCGCTGGCTGGCACACCTGCAAAAGGGAAGCCACGCCCACCTCCGCCATCCAAGCCCAGCTCCCGACCACAAGGTGCCACAGGGCATCAGGCGCCCCCACAGCCGGCCGCCCAGCGCCCCTGGGCCAGGCCCGCCCAGCATTACACCTGGACTCCTGGGGACCCCATAGGGGCGGGGCGTCGGGGTTCGGGCCACGTGTAGGCCGGGGAAGGAGGGCGGGCCGAGGGCGGGGCCGGAGGTGAGCTGTCCCGGGCCTCACTCCTCACCTGGCGCCCCGCAGCCTCGGTCTGCCTGCAGCAGCTGCCCGGCCATCGTCACCCAGGTAGGGGCCTCCTCTCTGCAAGGAGAGCTGGGGGCACGCAGCCCCTTCCCCGACGCCTTGGTCCCAGCTCCCCCACCTGCCGGGGCTCGGAGAGAAGCGGGAGGAGAGGGTCGGTCCCCCCGCCCCGGGTCCAGCTCTTTAGGAACTAAATCTACAGCCTTGGTGGAGGGATGGGAGAACGGAGGTCACAGACACTCGGGAGGGTCCTGGACACGGCGCCTGGGCCTCCTGTGCCCGCCAGGAGTGGGGCGGTTCCCAGCAGGGTCCGAGGAGCAGGGAGGGGCTCCGGAGGTGGTGTGCTTCAGGGGGCCAGCTTCACCCTCTGCCTTCGCAGCAGGAGGAGGTGGGGTCAGGAGAGTGGTTGGCAAGGCAGGGGCACGGGGCACAGCCGGGGGCAGGGCCCACCTTGGAGCCAGGGGAGCAGGGAGCAGGACTGTGGAAGGGAGAGCGAAGCAGGGCCCTGAACGAGGCAGCCCAGCCAGAGCCCCACTCCAATATTCAGACGCCAGCCGAGCACGGCGCCTGGCCTGGACTGCTAGAGCCAGGGCGACAGGGAAGGGGTCAGTGTCCAGGAACCCAGGGCAAGGCCCAGCTGCCTCCCTGCGGCCTGGGGCCGGGCGACTGAGGGAGGCTTAGGGGCTAATCAGCGGTGGCGGCCCGCAGGGGCACCGTGCCAGGACACCAGGCTCCCGCTCTCTGGCCTCCCTTGGGGATTTTCTGACCCTGGGCAAATCCTCAGCCTCTCTCGCAGCCCCTCCTCCCAGGACTGCTGAGAGCCTGAAGTGAGTTAAGGTTTGTTTTGTTTTGTTTTGCAGTGCTGGGGATTAAACCCAGGGCCTGGGCACTGAGCTCCATCCCCAGGCTTTTCTTTATTTCCTATTTAGGGACAGGATCTCACAAAGGTGCCTAAGCAGAACTTGAACTTGTGATCCTCCTGCCTCAGCCTCCCAAAGCGACGGGATGGCAGGCTTGGGCCATGGTGCCTGGCTGAAATGAGTTAAGGACTCGTGCTGGGTTGGCACAGAACCGTGCCCTGGTCGCATACTCTACAGAGCCAGAGCCCTGCGGGGCGCACCCTGAGCCTGTCCCAGTAAACCCAGCACAGGCTGCGGCCAACCGACTCCGTGTCCTCAGCTGCCCCCTGGAAGGATCCGAGGCTGGCTCCGTCCACTCCATTTATAGGCACCGTCCCCTCCAGGGCCGGCCATGAGCAGAGCCCGGGAGGACTGCGAGTGCTGGCCTGGCTTCTGTCATCACTGACTGTGCAAGCTCGGGCACACCGTACCCTCTCTGCACCTCAGAAAACCCTTTCTTGAGTAATCTGTATTTTATTTATTAATCTTTTACATCCAGGGGTGTTCTACTGCTGGGCTACAGCCTCAGCCCTCCTGTATTTTTCATTTTGAGACAAGGTCTTGCTAAGTTGCCCAGGGTTGTGCTCAAACTGGCAATCCTCCTGCCTCAGCCTCCCGAGGGCTAGGATTGCCGGCTTGCGCCACCGTGCCGGGCTATAAACCTCTTCGAGGAAGCGGGCGGGAATGCTCACTCTCATCTCACAGAGGAGGACCCTGAGGGTCAGAGTCGCACGTGAGGGCCAGGCTGAGCTTGAATCTGAATTAAATCTTCAGGTTCCTGTCTGGCTTTTACCTCTCTTGGCCCGGACTGGTCCCAGATAGAGTGAGAAGGAAGCAGCTGGGAAAAGGGTGCCCTGGGGCCTGAGGGAGCAGCGGGTGGAGGCTCTGCACCATTTTCTTAGCCGTCTCTGAGCTGCTTACCTCCTTCTCATCCGCATCTACGGGAGAACAGCATGAGGCATTATGGTTAGACAGCAGAAGGAACTTCCACAGTAAGGGAAGCGAGGATGTTGGGACCTGCTGAGCGCCTGGGGAGTGACTAGCATGTGCTCAGTCTCCTCCATAGTTGCCCACGCCCCTGCGGGTCTAGCTGCCCCTCCTCCCCCTCTCCCTCCACCCACCAGCCGCTCTGTTCCCCGGGCGCTCAGCAATGCCTGTCTGTCCGCCAGGCTTCGCGCATCCTCTCCTCCAGGAAGTCCCCCGACTCCCGCTCCCCGGTGACCCCGCTTACGGCTGCCCGCCCGCTTCCTCGTCCTCCACACGGCCCAGGCCCAGCCCTGCTCTGACGCCGCCGGCCGCGTGGCCGTGCACCAGTGACCTCTCCCCGTGCCTCCTTCGCCTCCTTGTGCACAGGGTGTAACACACAGGCGCCGGGTGTGTGTGCACAGTAAACGCTGGCTGCCGTTTCTCTAATAAACATGCCTGGCACGGGGGCTGTTCAGTAAACATCTGGGGGAGCCGCCTAATGCTTACGAGGAGCCAGCGCAGGTGCACGCATCTTACAAATGTCCGCTTTTTTTGTTTTTGTTTTTTTTTTTCTGGTACCGGGAATCGAACTCAGGACCTTGTGCTTGCCAGGCAGGCGCTGTGCTGCTGAGCTAAACCTCCAGCCCCAGTGTCCGCTTATTTTACACAGAAGGAAACCGAGGCACAAAAAAAAGTTTGCTAACTTCCCCAAACGTATACAGATTGTGAGTAGGAGAACCCAGGAGGATTGCACCCTGGAGCTCACACACACACACACACACACACACACACACACACACACAAGGCAAGTCAAGTGCTCTACCACTGAGTCGCATCCCTGGCCCTTTTTAAAAATTTTTATTTTGAGATAGGGTCTCAGTAAGTTGTACAGACTGGTCTCAAACTTTCAGTCCTCCTGCCTCAGCCTCCAGAGTACCTGGGATGACAGGCTGGCTAGCAGCCTCCATGCGCCCTTGTTTGGGGTAACGGAAGTTGCTCAGGTCCCACGCCTGTCTCTTGCAGGTCCTGGGAGCTCCTGTTGATACGAGACAGCTCTGACATGTAAGCGAGGCTGGTCAAACGCCGGAAGTGAACCCTTGAAACAGCGGCCCCCCATGTCTTGGGTGATGCCCGGCTCCCTGCTGGCGGGAGGCCACACTGTCCCCTTGGCACCCTGCACAGAGCCCAAGACAACCCTGCACGCAGCACCCAGCCCCAGCCTGCCACCTCTGTGCCCTTACTACACCACTGGAGGCTGGGGGGCCCAAGCACTGATGGCTCCCACACCCAGCAAGGGGCCCCCCGGCCCAGTCCAGCGGGCCCCACAGCCCCATGCCAAGGCCTCAGGGACCCCGCAGGACCTGGACTCCTACATTGACTTCTCCCTGGAGACCCTCAACCAGATGATCCTGGAACTGGACCCTACTTTCCAGCTGCTTCCTCCAGGCACTGGGGCCCCCCCGGCCGGGGCTGCCCAAAGCCAAGACCCCGGCAGCAAGAAGCAGGAGCCTGAAGCTGTAGGTAAGGAGCTCCTGCCTCAACCTCCCAAGCATGCACCGTCATGCCTGGCTCTGTAATGTGATTTTTAATAATGGCTGAGTTCAGCAACCAGCTGGACAAAATCTTGAAAGTTTAGCAATCAGCTCTAAGCAGGCTGGTACAAGTCCAACGGCCTCGGGAAATCCCTGCTCTGGGTTTGGTTTCAGGCCCACTCTGAGCATGAGGGTCACAGAGCCCCACTGGACAGATGGAAAACTGAGGCCGCCAGGAATTTAAACCCTCAGCAGCAGGGATTACAGTCAGAATATAGACTGATTTCCATTAATTGAGCATTTACTATATAAAGTACCAGGATTGTGCTGACCACTCCACCCTCTCAACACAGCACTGAACTCTTTTTTTTTTTTTTTGAGACAGGGTCTTGCTATTGTAGTTCAGGCTGGCCTTGAACCCATTGTGTAGCCCAGGCTAGCCTCAACTGTACGGTGATCCTCCTGCCTCAGCCTCCTGAATAGTGGGGTCACAGGCATGAGCTTAACTAACGCCCAGCTTCCAACATGAAATATTTCATCCCTATTTTATGGAGGAAAAGACTGAGGTAGATGGGGTTGGGAGGAGACAGCCCAGCCTAAGAGAATCAGCAAAGCTATCTCTTTCTTTGTGTTTTAGATGCCTCATCTATAACATGGAGATAGAGTCCTTACTTCTAAAGGTGTCGCAGGGATTAAAACGAATAACACTTATCACAAATTTATCACCAACCCTTATCACCAACCTAGCCCCCTGTGAATTACTACAAGTGGCCACCATTGTTTATTCACTTCAGGGTGCAGGTAGGGCCTGCCCTGGGGCCAGTCAGGTCTGGGATGGAGGCCAGCGCCGTGGGCGCCCGCTTGCTTAGGGCCACTCCCGGCACGTCACCCAGGAAGCGTCTTGCGCCTAATTAGCGTTGGCAGGAGGAGCCCGGGTGCTAATGCTCGTGCCCCTAGGCAGGGCCAGCTGGGGCATGACAGGCGGGCTCCGTGGGCACCCACGTGCCAGGGTGGAATGGCGGCAACGCGCCCATCCTCCCCAGAAGGGCCGATGATCGGCATGGCCTCAGAGGCCACTGTAAGCACAGCGGGGCCGGCAGTGGTCAGCGGGCCCTGACGAAGCTGCCAAGCTCCGGATGATGGAGGAGGAAACCCCTCCTCTAACCCTGCTTGGATACCTCTCCTGCCTGGGAGCTCACTACCTACCAAGACGGCCCGGCAACGTCAGCCTCCCTGGCGGGGTTTCTCTGCCTCCACTGAGGGCAGCAGACCACCACCGCGCTGGTGACACAAGCTCCAGGCCAGGCTGAGGGGGACAGACGGCCACTGTCCTCCTCCCAACTTGGCCAAGTCCAAGGCCTGAATGAGGGAGTCCTGATGGTCACCTCCCCTAGATGAAGCCAGACAGGCTTTAACGGGATAAACGTCCCTCCTGGTCCCTTGAGGTCCCGGGGTTTGGCCCTGGAAGGAATGCAGGGGCCTCTGCTTTACAGCAAGGAGCCTGAGGCCCCGGGCGGGAAGGGAGACCCACAGCCGTGGCCGCGCGGCGGTGCGAGATGGGTCAGGCCCGAAGCCCCATGTCCGGCTCCAGGGTGCCCGCCCCACCCCCCGCCTTTGGCGGGGCTCGTCTCCTGCCCACTGGGGGCACATGGTGAATCTTCGGCGGCCCCGGGGTCCCGTCCTGAGCCTCGGCCTCCCCGCAGCTGGCCAAGCCCCTGACTCCCTCGGACCTGCCCGGTGGAGTCCCTGTGCCCAGAGAACGTGGCTCCTAGAAGCTCAGGCCACATCCCCGCCCTGCTCCCCCAGACCTCCCACCCCGTCTTCGGCACAGCCTCGCTGCCAGGCCAGCCGGCCCGCCAGCCCCGAGGGTGCTTAGTAACCAGCCCTCCGCCCCCCACCCACGTGCCGCGCCACCCTGCCCTGCCCGGACTTGCCCTCCCGCCCGTAAACAGCGGCTGCACCCCAGGGCCCCACCGTCCACCTGGCTGACTCACAGCACCGGGCTCCTCCCCTCCCTGCCCACACAGCCCCAGGGCAGGTGCTTTGCTGGGGTGTTGGGGTGACCCAGGAGGTGGGGGGCCAGAGCCTCCCCAGGCCAAAAGGCCCTCCCCAAAGCAGTCCGGCACCTTCTCCCAGGACAAGGCCTTGGAACAGGGTCCCAAGGAGGCCCCTCCTCCTCCCCGGGAGGCCCCTCTTCCTCCCCGGGAGGCCCCTCAACGGAGCTAAACCACCGTCCCTGGCTGTGTGGCGCTGGGCGACTCGCTCCACCTTGCTGAGCCTCGGCTTCTCCTCCGGCCTGGGGCAGCAGCACTGTTTCTCACTGGGGCAGGGCTGCTTCAAGGGAGCAAGAGGACACGCACACGCGCCCCGCCGCTCTGCAGCCACGCTGGCTCCTGGTACCCAGACGCCACCTTTATCAACCGCCGTTGTGCAGGCCTCGCTGGCTCCCTCCCGCGTCCCTCCCCGCCTCAGTTTCCCCCGCTGTAAAAACAAAGCCTGAGGTGCCCCAAGGCTCTCCCAGGTCCAAAGGTAGAGACAGGATAAACACATCAAGTCCCATAAAAGTGGAAGTGGCGCCTGCTGGCCCTGCACAGAACCATCGGCTCTGAGCGCTTTCCCGGCATTCTCTGGCCGCGCCCTGCGGGGCAGAAGGGCATCCACCTTGGCCAGGGCTGCCCCACAGCAGGGTCCTCCTCCGAGGCCCCCAGGGGCCTGGCTCCAGGCTCTGGGCTCCACCCAGCCCCACTGAGCGGCGTCACTTCTTTCAGAGTTTGGATTTAGATCTGCACTTTGCAGATTAGGAAACTGAGGCTAGCAGAGGTTGGGACATTTCCCCCTGCTCCTTGGCTGGAAAGGTCGCAAAGCCAGGACTTGGACCCAGGTCCTCCCCCCGCTAGCCCGGGGGCAGCAAGCCTGGGTCAGCGCCAGGCTCACCCGATGCCCTCCCCGCCTTTGCCAGCTCGACAGGCCCAGACAGAGGCAGTCACTCAGCCAGCCGGCCAGGAGTCCTGCCCAGGCAGCCAGGCAGGCTGGGGCTCCGAGGCCTCTCAACGCAGCGGGGAGGGGGCCGCTGACCTCAAAGGCGGAGGAGGCCACAGACAGGCGTGGAGGCTGGGTTCTCACCGTCTCTGTCCCGCAGAGCTCAGGGGACCCCGGGTGCTCAGACTACTGCACATGTAGGTCCCTAGGCCCGGGCTGCAGCCTGACACTCCGTGCTGGGAACCTGGCCCAGGAGCCGTGACACAGCCGGAACATCTGTCCTAGGGTTGAGGCTCCCATACACAGGAGTTACCTGGGAAACCAAGGAAACACACGAACCACCCGATCCAGCCAGAGGCCAGGGGTCCCCACAGATTCTGATCCAACCGGCGTGGGGTGCAGCCAGGGCAGTGAAACTCTTAGAACCCCATCGGGAGATTCTAGGGTATGGGGGGCATGCAAAGCCCTGTCTCACTGTGGGTACAGGCGGGAGGCAGTCCTGGGGCACCGCGAGTGACAGGCGTGGTGGAAAGACAGAGGACCCTCCAGGTCTGAAGCACCTGCTGTGTGCCAGGCGCGGCGCGGCTGCCCGAGCCAATCCCACTTCACCCTGCCTGTGACACGCAGGGGTGGATACTGAGGCTCGAAGTGACCAAGCCACTCGGCCAAGTTCTCAGACCACGTGGGGCAAGCCACGTCTCTGACCCAAGGACGTCCCGCACCCCAGGGGTGACATCACAGACAGGGTGACTGGGCCCGGAAGGTGGCGCTGGGTGCCGGTCTCCTGTCTGGGCCTCGTCTGTGTAAAAGCACGGAGGGGGCCCACGGGTTCTTGAGAGTCCTCTCCGGAGTGCCCATCCCGCGCGCCCGGCCTGACCAGCAAGCTGCTCCTCTTCCTGCAGATATCAAGTACATCGAAGTGACTTCTCCCAGACCGCGGTGCCGCGAGGGTCCCCCGCGCTGCTCCAGCCCGTCTGTCACCCCGCCCACTGGCTCCCCATGCGGCGGTGGCCTCCTCTGCAGGGACGCCCCCCGGGAGGCTCGCAGCAGCTCCGACAGCCTGGTCTTCTCCGGCAGCCAGGGCGGGGGTCCCTCCCCCCGCCCCTCCCCCAGCATCGCCATCCCTGGTGGGGGGGGCAGGGCCTGTGGCCCCCATGGCTTGGGCTCCCCAGTGCTCGCCTCCCCAGGCCTGGAGAAGGGGCCGAAGGCCCTGACCCCCCAGCGGGGCAGCAGGGTCTCTGTGCTGTCGGCCAGCCCCACCTCCGAAGTCAGCTACGTGTTTGGGAGGTGAGTTCCCACGTTCGGCCCCGCCTCCCTTGGAGTCGCGGTGGGCGCCGCTCCGCCCGAGCAAAGCCGCAAAGTGGCGCGTGCAGGAAGGCAGCAGGAGTGGATGTTGGCTTTCCTGCCATCCCCGCACTCCGCTCCCCGCGAGCAAACGCCTGGGACCTAACTCAGGACACAGCGCTCAGCTTACGTCTTCCCCGGGAACAGGGCCGCGGCGTCCACGCGGCTCCCGTCTCCCTTGGCCCTGGCACAGCCCGTGCCAGCGACCAGCTTTCCAGAACGCCGAACACAGGGCCGTACGGGGGCTTGGACGGCTGAGGGCAGCCACCCAGAGACGAGAAGTCGCCTTCTCTGTGCTGTCGGTGGCGTCCAGGAGCCAGGGCCCGGGCGGCCTGGGCTTCGTTTCCAGGGCTCCCCACTCACACTGTTCTGCAGCGGAACTGCACACCCGCCCTGTCCCGCCTGGGAAGCCCAGACACGGGCCCCACACACCAGGGCCAACGTGTGGGCTGAGGCAGTGCCCGGCAGAGGCCGGGATCCCCAGCCGGCTCCCTGCGGAGCCTGCCTCTCCGCCTCCCTCTCCCCCTCCAGCTGTGCTCCCTCTGCGTCACCGTGGGCCTGTCCATCTCGGTCCACCTGCCCACGGGGCTCTTGGACGCAACAAGCAGGGCAGAGCCCAGGCTCTGGCCGGGCAGGCAGAGGGAATCCTGCAGGGGTCGGCCCCTGGCCTCTAAATGACCAAAGATCCCGCAGCCCAGGGACGCCTCTCCGTCCTTTGGCATCCCGTGGGCATCAGGTGGGCCTGCCCTTGGCTCCGGCCCCGAGGGACCTCCAGACCTAACACACGTCCCTCCTCTCTCCCCGGCAGCAGCCAGTCTCTCTTCCGCTCCAGCATCTCCAGCCACCAGTCGTCAAGGTCCTTGGAAAGCCGAGCCAGCTCCTCCTCCAGCCTCCACAGCCTCGGCCCCGGGTCCACATGCACGAAACCTGGTGACGTCCAGGCCCCCAGCAACCCCACCCCGAGCGTGGTGCAGCCCGGAGTGACCCACTCCCCTCCCCTGGCCACGGAGCATGCCAGCAGCTGCCCCCCGTCCATCACCAACTCCATGGTGGACATCCCCATCGTGCTGATCAACGGCTGCCCCGAACCCCAGTCTCCCCCACCTCAGCAGACACCAGGACACCGGGGCTTTGTCCAGGCTGGAGCTGCTTCTCCCAGACACCCCTGCCCGGCCACCAAGAGCCGCAGCCAGACCCTGCCGGACACCGCCTCTGCCGTGGCCCCAGAGGGTATGTTGTCAAACAATCATCAAGCAGTGGAAGATTCGGGCAAGGGAAGTAGACAGTGCACCAGTGGGCTTCGGTAACAGCCAGCCAGCACATTTACTGAGCACCTACTATGTGCCAGGCACTGTGCCAGGCTGTGAGGACACATAGATGGACCAAAACCAAGACCCGCACAGAACAGGAAGAGCTCAGAGGTAAAGTCGCAGGACTCCACAGTCAGGATGGGGTGCAAGCTCCCGGCACGGTTAGGAAAGGCCTACGATATTGAGGCTGCCGGGAAGGTCACTGAGAAGTAATCTGGAGCCAGATGGTGAAAGGCCTTGAATGCCAAGCCAAAAAGTGGATTTCACCATTTGGGCAGCAGGGATCGGAGACCCCAGACAGGGCGGAGGCAGGGTCAGCCGGACACACTCAAGGGTTCGGCCTGGCAGCTGCGGGGAAGATGGGCTGCAAGCTGAGAGCCAGGGTGGGGCAGGGCTGGGGGGAGGAGGATGGAGCCGGGCACCCTCCGGATGTGGAAGCAGCAGGCTTGGTGACTCACCCGAGGACGGCCCAGGGGAGCCTCGGTCCTCGCTCTGACGTCCAAGGATGACGAGAGCACAGAGGGGGTGCGCAGGGGAACAGAGGCAACGCGTTCCAAGTCAGAGAGCCCCAAACCACAAAATGTCAAACACTCTCCTTCCCGGAGCCTGAGACTATAGACGACCAAAAGCACGCAGTTCAAGGAACCCACAGCAGTAAACACAAACGCTAACGCGAGGCACCCCCGGCCTACATGCTCCTGCCAGGCCTCAGCTCCTCCGGCTTCCAGGGTGACTCGAGGGGCGAGAGATGCACGCCAGCACACACAGGGAGAGGGTGGCACACGGGGATGCCTTCCTGTCTGCCCCCGTCCCTGTCCCAGGACAGGTCATCCGCACGCTGCAGTGCAGCGTTCTTTACAGGGAGCTGGCCACACGCACCTTCTTGCGATGCCAAAACTGAGAACCACTGCTCTCTGCCCTAGGGAGCCGGGACCACCGGCACTTTGGTTCTCAAAGTGTACCCACGCCCAGCCGGGTGACACTGCCAGGCCACTTTGCGGATGCCAGCAGATGTCACTAATTATGCTCCAGGATCTTACCAAACTGCAAATTTCCTTTTCATTTCATACACTCTGGGGCATCAAAGACCTGGGGGTTGTCTAGCCCACTTGGTCCCCTCTGGGTGTTAGGTGCTGGATATTTGTGACAAAATCAGGAATCCAGACTCCCGGCTTCTGAGTGCAGCTCTTCCCTCCACACCCGCCGTCTTCCTTCCACCCTTCGCCTTTTCTCTTGCTCTCCTCTCCAATCGGATGTGCCCCTCAGGGACGCTTAGACTGGCTAAGGGGGAGGCGCGTCTGAGGTCACACAGGCACATGAGAACCCTTTACCCTATTCGGGTCGCTCCGCCAGGCAACATTAGGTTTGTTATCTGTTTGGTTTTGATTCATTACCAAGGATACTAAGAGGCTTCTGTACCCCACATGCGCCATGGCCTGGAGCCCTTCCGTCTGGTTTTGTGTCTTTAGGCCGTCTAGCGATAACGTGGGCTCTGGGTAGGGGTAGGGGTGGGGGTGGAATGGGGCCTCCGGGCAGAGGAACGGGGTGGGGTCCCAGCCTTCTCTGGGGCACCTTCCAGCAGCCTTCAGTTCAGCCTATTCTGTTCCCCTTCTCTGTCTGTCTTCAGGTCCTGCCAGAGACGCACAGCCCACCATGAAGTTCGTGATGGATACGTCCAAATACTGGTTTAAGCCAAGTATCACTCGAGAGCAAGGTAAACAGAACCGAGTGCCAGACGGGTGGGGCCCCGCGTCATGGCCTGAAAAAGAGGAGGGGTGGCAAACGGCCCGGGGAAGGGGGCGCCCTACTGACCCCTCGAGGAAACAGAAATGGAGCCAAGATGGCAGAGCAGACACCAGAAACACTTCCTGGGTGAAAGTCACTCTGTTACGCTGCTTCACGAAGAGTCCTCGCGGGCCGGGGAGGGAGAGTCCCCACGGGCCAGCATCCGAGTCTGACCCAAGGATCATTCCAGCCATCGAGCTGCTGAAGAAGGAGGAGCCTGGGGCCTTCGTCATCAGGGACAGCTCCTCCTACCGAGGCTCCTTCGGCCTGGCCCTGAAGGTCCAGGAGGCCCCTGCGTCTGCCCAGCACCGATCAGGTACGCGCCGGTCCGCTCCTTCCAGGGCTCCTGCAGACGGCAGGGGTTAGCTCACAGGACGTCCCCGGGGCCGGCCCTGCGGCCACGCTTGGGAGGACGGTCCCCCTCTGGGGCAGCTCCCAGCAGCTCGGAGGCACCGTGAAAAGCACCTTTCCCTGCAGGTCCCAACCCTGTCCAGGCTGCTTTCTACTTGTAGCTCCCTGTGTGTACACCACGCCCACCTCCTGGCCACCTATTGTAGTAATAGCGGGTGTGCACTCGCTCATCACACGTGTGTAGCTTATCGAGTATGTACGTGTGATAACCCGTCCATTGAGCATGATAGCTTATCAGGTATGCCATAACCATCACCTGTGTGTCGGAAGTATGCTTAATCACCTATCACACGTGTGCTTAATCACCTATCACACGTGTGTGATATTTTACACACACTCCACACACGGCTAGGGGTCTCTCCCTGCGCCAAGCTCTGGGTAAGGCACCAGGAAATCAGAGGGGTCCATGCGGGCAGCACCTCTTTGGGGAGGTGGATGGGAACAGATAACCCAGCACAAGCACCCGGTCCCCCCAGAAACCCCAGGACGGTGCCTCTCCTGTAACCGAGGATGGCGCAGGCCCTCAGAGCAACTGCACGAGGGAGCCAGGGTGCAAGCCCGGCCTGCGCTCTGCCCACTCGCCCCCCGCCCCGCCCTGGAAGAAAGGGGCGGGGCCTGTTACCAGGGAGCCTGGGCAGGTCTCGAGGGAGGCCAGAGAAGAGGGCGCAGACGGCGGTGGAGTCCAGGGCCAGCCTGGTTCCGGTGGGCACGACCTGGTGGAAAATAACAGCACCAGCAGGGAGGAGCTGGGCGGAGACGGGGGGCGCTGGAAGAGCTGATATTTGGTCTGCACGGTAATTAAGAACAATCCCTGATAACTCTCACCAGAAGAACGTTTTTCCTAAGGGGATAATGGAACCTGGAAGCCCTCGAGCAAATCTGCTGGCCGCTCGTGTGGCCACAGGACATCCACGTGCAGCTCAAGGCCCGCGAAGGGCTCGGGGTGGGCTCGTGAGCAGGGAGGAGCTGGCCAGCACGCATGCACCCTTTCTCCTCCCGGACATGCGCGTTCTCCTTTGCGCGCATGCGTTTTCTCCTCTGCGCGCATGCGCTGTTTCTCCTCGGCATGCACGTGCTCTTTCTCCTCTGCAGGCGAGGACAGCAGTGACCTCATCCGCCACTTCCTCATCGAGTCTTCTGCCAAAGGCGTGCACCTCAAAGGAGCGGATGAGGAGCCCTACTTTGGTGAGCGTTGGCAGCCTCCAGGTCGGAGATGGGGGCCCCACCCTTCTGAGCTGCGAGGTGCTGGGGAAGCCCTCCTCATGCGCGTGCTGTTCCCTCCTAGGGAGCCTGTCAGCCTTCGTGTGCCAGCACTCCATCATGGCCCTGGCCCTGCCCTGCCCACTCGCCATCCCAAAGCGAGGTAGGTCTGGACCCTCAGGCGTCGCTTCTGCCTGGTCTGTGGATTATTTTCAGATTGTAGTTAGAAGCGCCTGTGGTAGTACCTGCCTGTACTCTCAGCGCTCAGGAGGCTGAGGCAGGAGGATCCATGTGAGTTTGAGGCCAGCCTGGGCTACATAGCCAGACCCTGTCTCAAAAAATAAAATAAAAACAATTTTTTAAAAAAACTCAAGGTCTCGAACTCACTGTGTAGCTCAAGCTGGACTGCAACTCGCAGCAATCCTCCCAAGTGCAAGGATGACACCACCATGCCCAGCTACCAGGTCCAACATTTCTTGAGCACTAGTTATATTCGCATCTCAGCCCAGGCCCCAAAGGCCCAAAGAGTGAGACTGGGTAGGGTCAGCAAGCCCCACCCCGGGTGCACAGCCCAGAGGGAAGGGTCATTTTGTGGGTGCACAGGGAAAGCTAGAAAAGGGGGCTTTCTGGGGGAGGACTCGGGGCCGGAGAGCCCCAGATGAGGGATGGTGAGAGGGTCCCCATGTCCTGCAAAGAGGAACCTGGGGTTGGGAAGAAAGTAGGGGGCCAAGGACGTGGGAGGTCAAGGTCAAGGCCACAGTCTGGGACCTGTGGGGGGCAGGAGGGAGGAGCCTGGGATCCAAGGCTTGCAGGCCGGGCCCTTGGGGAGCCCAGAGTGGCCCCCATTTGTGTAATCACAGTCCCCACGCTGGCTTCCCATTCCCTGGAGGCGGGGGTTGGGAGGTGGTCGGGGACCCCGAGGGGTCCCTCACCAGGGCCTGTTCCTTCGCCTTGGCTCAGAGCTGGGAGCTGCAGACAGGGCCGCGGAGCGCCCCACAGAGAGCCCGGCCTGCCTGAAGAAAGCTGCGGGTGAGTGCTAAGGGCACGCGCACACGCATGCACACGCACACAGGCTCCGCACGTTCCCGTGCAGCCTGACAGTGTGCCTCGTGCCCCTCGCCCACCAAGGCCCAGGCGTGGGCCGGCAGAGCTTGCTCCCCGGCCATGCCCCCTGCCCCGCTCTCGGTCCCCGGGAAAGCACCCCCAAGGGCTAGAGGTCAAAAGCCAGGCAGAGGTCAGCAATCCTCTGGGTCACCTCCTCCATCCTGTCTTCTGTCCCCCATGTCACCAGGGGTGGAGGTGTGGGCGGGGGCAGCCTCGGTCCAGACAGAAGTCATTTCCCTGGAAACCCATGTGCTCAAACCAGTGTCACCGCTCCTCCGTCCAGTCCCACCCAGAAGGGCAGGACAGTGCAAAGGGGCGCCGCCTGCGCCCCCACCCCCACCCCCAGTCCCGCCGGCTTCCTGCAGAAGGCGCAGCGGCCCGGGCCAGGCACGGGGATCCATCCCTCCATTGCCCCCGCGCTGCGTCTGGGCCCGCAGGCTGCCACACCTTGTACCTGCGCTCGGTGAGCATGGAGACCCTGAGCGGGGCTCTGGCCGTGCAGAAGGCCGTCTCGGCCACCTTGGAGCAGGAGGTGCTCCCCACGCCCACCGTGGTCCACTTCAGAGTCACCGAGCAGGGCATCACGCTGACCGACGTCCAGAGGAAGTAAGGGCCACAGGGCAGGGCGGGGGACAGTCCCTGGGGGACAGGCCTTTTGGGCTCTAGGGGACCAGAGTGCTGGTGGCAGGGCACACCTCACCTGCTCCTCTCTCCCTGCCTCCCCAGGGTCTTCTTCCGTCGCCACTACCCGCTCAGCACCCTGCGCTTCTGCGGCACAGACCCGGAGCAGCGGAAGTAAGTGCGAGTCTGGGCCCAGCAAGGAGGGAGGCCTCCAGGGGCCTCGGCACCCTCTGAGGTGGCCTGGGTTCTGGGGTGGAGATGCAGAGGGAGCTATAAATGGAAGGGCTGACGGCAGGTGGCACCCTCCAGGTAGGGCTCTGTGGGGTGCAGTGGAGCTCGTGACTCAGGACCGGCATATTCCTTCTCACAGGTGGCAGAAATACTGCAAGCCTTCCCGGTAAGGCCGTCACCCCTCAGCCCACCGCCCTAAGAGGGGTCCCTGTGATGGGGCACCAGACCCAACAGAGGGAGGCCCCGTCCTGCCAACAGAGTTCAAGGCGTCGGAAAGGTTGAGGCTGGATGTTGTCATATACACCTGTCATCCAGCACCCTGGGAGGCTGAGGCAGGAGGATCCCAAGTTGGAGCCCAACTTGGGCAACTTAGATCTTGAGTCAAAATAAACTATAAGAGGACTGGGGATATAGCTCAGTGAGAGGGCCCTGGTTTTAACTCCCAGTTCTGCAAAGCACTGAGGGGGACACAGGCCCTGTCCTCAGGAAGCTCCCGTCTGAGGGGGGCCCTCAGTGTCCTGCAAGAGACACAGGCTCTACTGGGGAGTCTTGACCTCTAGGGGGCCCCAGCCTGATGTTTAGGGTCCACTCTTGCCCTCAGGCAGCTTCCTGTCCTGAGGGATTGATCCCCACGCACAATGGAGAAGACCTGGACCCTGAACTTGGGGCTCTCCGGGTCTGATGGGGAGGTAGCACCTTCCTCCGGGGAGCTCTGGCATAAGAAGGTGCCAGGGGCAGGGCCTGGCGCTGCCCAGTCCCTGCCCCACTCACACTGCCCTCCCTCCCTTCCTCCCTCCCTCCCTCCCCAGGATCTTCGGGTTCGTGGCCAAGAGCCAGACAGAGCCTCCGGAGAACATCTGCCACCTCTTCGCAGAGTACGACGCAGTGCAGCCAGCTTCGCGGGTCATCAGCCTGGTGACGGCGCTGCTGCAGGAGGCCGAGAGGATGTAGCGGGCAGGCCCGGCTGCACCCCGCCCACCAGCTCCTGGACTCCCGGCCGGCCGAAGCCTTGAACCTCCTGCCTGGCGCACCCCCAGTGTGACAGTGGGGGCAGGGACGTGGAGCGTGGGCCTGGCCCCTGCCCTGAAGCTCGTGACGCTGTGAGCCAGGATTGGGTTCAGACTGCGATTCCCTCTGCATCTGTCCCTGTCCCCGCTTTCCTGATGGCCTTTTGGATCCACCTGCCCAGGTGTGGCTGGTGTCACAGGTCCCTCGGGTTGCTGGTGTAACTGTCCCCAAGTGGGAGGTGTGGCGGAGACCCTGGGGCTCTAGGGCAGCTCTGAGGGCATCTGGCTGTGGTTGGGCATCAGTTCTTCCCTGCTGAGTCCTCTGCCGGACACCCACACACCCTGAGGCGGACTTGGCCCAGCCCCCCTCTCCAGCCCCGCTGCGGCCACTGGCCTCACAGCCACAAGGGGGCAGCAGAGAGTCAAGAATGCAAAGAGGTTGCTTGCCAGGGCCTGGAGAAGTCCAGTCTTTTCTGCCCCTTCCCCGTGGGGGAAGGAAGCCCCAGAGGCGGCCGCGGCAGCAGCTTTTCCAGCTGGCGTGGCCTCCTGAGCAAGTGGCACCGGGGGGCAGCAGGGGAGGTGCGGCAGCATCTCAGGGGGCGCCTTTGGCCAAAGTCGGCCCTGACAGCTGTGATTTCAGCCCGGAAATGAGATCAGACTGCGAGGCCCAGGCTGGCCGGGCTGATCCGCAGGACAGGACGGCGGCCCAAGCGCTCAAGGCCGCCGGGCCCGGGCCCAGATGTGGGGCTGGCGGAGTCCCCCTGCCCCCGAATGTGCCTGTCGCTCCCATCACCAGAAATAAAGCAGTGGTCCGAGGCCTGCAGGGCCGTGTCCTTGGGGGTGGGTCCAGCCCAGGAGAGGGCCTGGCTCAGCAGGCGGTGAGGACCCAGGGGCCGCCTCGTGGGCTCCTGCTACCCAAGCCACTCGTACCACCCTGTCCCCCATCCCTGCCTCTGCCAGGAGGGCTGGCTTCTGGCCCCGGGGACTGTGTGTCACCCAGCAGCAGGGGCAGTGCCCTGTGCCTGCCCACGGGGCCCAGAGGGGCTGGGGTCGTCAGAGCCGCTTGGGACATCCAGAAGAAGCCCTGGGACTGGGTGACCCACGCCACGGGCCCAGGCCTGCCGCGTTGGACAGTGGCCCCTTCGTGGCACCCTGGGCCTCGAGTTCTTCCAGCTCCTGCCAGCTGGCCGTGCTCCCTCCCTCGCCTGCCCAGGCGGTGCCCCCTGCGGACCCCACGGCTGCAGGACATGTACAGGGTCACCGAGCAGTGCAGGACTGCGGAGGATCCGCTTCCCAGCCTGATTCCCGCCCGCTGTATCTGGATGCCGCAGCAGAAGCTGGCCGGGAAGGGAAGAGGCCGCCCCGGGGCCCACGCCCCACGCCCCGCCACCCCCAGCAGGGGACAGCGACCTCTCACCCCGTGCCCTGTGACTGGACTCCTGCCCCGGGGCACCAGCCCCGCCCGCCCACATCCAGTTCTCCACCTGTGCCCTCCTCCAGGCCTTCACCCTGTGCCACCCGGCAGCTGCAGCGCTGCAGGCTCAGGCCGGGGCGGTGGGTGGAGGCCGCAGGTGCCAATCAGCTCCTGACGCCCCATTGCTGCAGCCAGCGCTTCCCAGCAGCAGCCAGGCTAAGCAGGAGGAGGAGCAGCAGGGCAAGGCTGGCATTCCTCACGGGAGGGGACAGGGCAGTGTTACTGTGAGGTCACGTTTGAGCTGGGCTTTCAAGGGTGGCTAGGAGTTTGGCAGGCCAAGAGGAGAAACCAACTTTTACTGGAGGGGATCCCGTGCGCTAAATGCAGTGTGACACGCCTGTGTTTAGTTCTGATTTACAGGAGACCCCAGGGTCTCCAGGAACCTTGAGTGCCAAGCTGAGAATGAATGAATGAATGAATGGGGTTGGACGCAGGGCCGCTTGTACAAATGAGCAGGTTGTGCAGTGCACAACTGCACATGGCAACCTGCTCGGGCTTCGTCCTGTACAAAAGAGCGAGGCTCTGGGGCGAAGGAGGAGTTGAATGGGTTTGTACCCTGGTGTGGCTGGGGATGCAGGGACAGGATCTGGGACCTGGGCTGGGACAGGGGAGTGACAAGCGGACTAGGAGAGGAGGTGGCGTCAAACAGGAAGAGGGTGAGAGGCTCAGAAGAGGGGCTCTGGCTCCCTGCAGGCTGGGGAGGAGTCTGCGTGCTCTGGACGCTGGCCCCTTCTCAGGTGGGTAGCCTCAGAGTGCATGCAGGGCTGGCTTGGACTCGTGTGCCGCAGGCTGGCCTTGAACTCAAGATCCTCCTGCCTCAGCCTCCTTGAAACCACTCTTCCTTTCTAAAGCCCCCCATCTGATTGCATTAAAACTCTACTTTTAGGACTCATTTAACCTCGGTTACCTATGAAACTGCTTGTCTCGTAAGCACAGTCACACTGGGGCTGATTTTGGAGGCACAGTTCAACTGGTCGGCAGCCCCCTGTGCCAGTGAGGCCCCCACCTCGCCACCCCCGTCCCGGGGCCTTGAGAAGCACAGCCTCCTCTTGTGCCCAGCCCTGCCGCCCCGGGAGGCCGAGGAATGGGGCAGGCAGCAGGCATGGCTCCTCCGCCTGGCACCCAGCGGGCGGGACGTGCCACAGGCAGTGCCCACAGAGACCGGGCTCCGCCTGGTCCCCGCGGCGCACAGCCCGCAGTCGTCCCTGCTGGAAGCATCGCTGTGCCCCTCCCACACCTGGGCTGCGCCCCCGGAGTCCTAGGACTTCAGTCGATGTGGGGCCAGCGATTCAAAGCTTAGGAGGGTTCCCACGGGCGACCGGCGTGGGCAGCACGGCAGGACTTGCACCTAGGTGGTGTGCACCCAAACAGGAGGGGGAGGAGGACCCAGATCACCAGAGCCAGCGCCCTGCCTCCGGGGACACAGGAAGAGGAGCAGCGCTGTCTGTTTCTCCCGTCTCTTACTCCAGTTGGGACTAAGTCCCCTTCCTCACTCTGTCCCTAACCCCAGGCTGCTCAAGACCCTGGAAAAGCCACTCCCTCAGCCCCTCTCTGCCTGGAAGCGGGCACTCACTCGTGCCCTGCCATCTCCCGTCCCCCAGGTGGCCGACCGCCGGCTTCCTGCCTCACTGAGATTTCCTGTCTCCGGAGGCTCCTCCTGCCACCAGGGCTGTCGCCGGGACGCAGGGGCAGGGCAGGAAGAGAAGAGGTGAACAGCTGTGGCTGGGAACGGGGGAAGGACCCTGGGCCCAGGGGAGAGGTCGCCAGCCAGCGCACGCGTCCCTCATTCACTCACCGCTGCGTGTGCCGGCTCAGGAGGCACAACTATGTTAAACAAAACAGGTGTGTATTTTAGAAAAACAGAGAAAATAACAATCAAGAAAACCCTAATAATACAGGAGACAAACATGGAAGGAAGTACGATGGAGGGAAATACCTTGCCTGGGAGGGCCTGCAAGGAGCCTTCGAAGGAGGTGACACCTGGATAAAAGCTGACAAGCCAGGGTCAAGGGTGATTCAGGCATGTGCAAAGGCCCTGAGGTTGGCACAAGTCATAACCAAGGGGCTGAGGGACACTTATAGGAAACGCAGGCTCGTACAGAGACCCCTTCCACTGCCGCCTTCTGTCCCTGGAGCTGGCGTACAAACTTCATGCAATGCCTAGGTTTGTGGCCCCCAGCAGCCCCTTGTGCCCATACTCAGCCTGGTCCTGTCCCAGCTCAGCACCGTCCTCAGACAGGCAAATCCCAGGCCACCTAAGGCTGGGTCCTCAGGGGTCAGGCAGAAGAGATGCCCACGTCCCCTGCATGGCCACCACCTGCACAGATGGGTGCTTCCCTGCCTGCAGGGCCTTCTCCCCTCTCACAGCCCTAAGACCGTCCCCACTCTGCGGTGACACATGCACTGTAGAGGCAGCCTTCCCCACTGCCCCACTGAACAGAAAGAAGAGAAAAAGGCACATTTTCAGAATCTCCAAGGTCCCCACTGGTGTTTTAACGCCGGCCCTTGGGACCTGCTGCCTGGGGTTGAGGAATCGCAGACCCAAACCTCGCGCTGGCTTTGACACTGGAGGCTGGGGCTCCCCAGAGGGGGGTCCCCAGGCCTCGCCGGTCCCCAGAACGACCGCGGGCACTGGGCAGTGGACACGCAGGCCGCACGCCGGCCCGGCCTGGCCCCTCACGCCACTGCGTCCCGGCCCGGGTCACTGCACAGTCACACGTCACTTCGAATGAGCAGCCTTGACCCGTGGCTGAGAGGTGAAGCCAGGCAGCGGCTCGGCCCAGGGCAGCGCAGCTCTTTTTCTCTGTTGTTTTGGGGGGTGCTCTATTGTCCAACCAACCTTCCATGATGCTGGGAAATTGCACCGATTTCCTGAGCAGTCAGCTCTCATTTCCCTCCCGACGAGGAGCCGGAAGGGAGGCGGAGACCCCGAGTGCCGGGCCAGGCCGGGCGGCAGCGCCGGTCCCCAGTCGGCCCCAGCTGCTCTCCTCCGGCAGCCCTGTCTCCCAGGGATGGCGGTACCTGTTTCCGGGGCGTCGTGTTCCAGGTCACCCTGCCCCCCAGAGGCCATGGTCCGAGGGCAGCTGCCTCGGCCTGCCCACCCCTCTGGCCTCTGCGGGTGTCTCGGGGCGCTGAGGGTGCAGCTAGCAGCCCACATGTGAGGCGCTTGCACAGCTGCCCCAGGAGCTGCCCACCCTGGGGTGGCAGGGGCCCGGACCCCGGCCTGCGCAGGGCGAGGGCAAAGGGATCGGGGAAGAGCAGCCTGCTCCCCTCCAACCTAACTCTGGCTGGGGCGGCCTTGGCATCCCTCAACGTCCCCCTCAGGAAAATGGCCCGAGTGGGCAGTAACCCTGTGCCTCTGCACCTGGCGGCGTCCCTTTGGCCTGGGTGGTCCCTCGGAAGAGGGTTCTGGCCTCCGTTAGGGGATTTAGAGTTCGCAAAGGGGGCTGAGAGAAAGAGGGGACCGGCCAGCCCTGGAAGCCACTGATCTCCGCCTTCTCCACGCCCCACCCCTGGGGACCGCGTCCGCCTCCACTGAAAGCAATTTGTCATGCCCTGAATTAAGTGATTCCAACAAGGGTTTAATTTCAGTTTAATGGCTCTGTTTTTATGTGTAATTAAATACCAGTGCATGGCGAAAATATGTTGTTTGCACTTTAGAGACCATGTGAGGCCTGGAAGCCCCGCCCGCCAGCCCCGCTCAGCCTCCGCCTCTCCCCCCGGCGGGCTGAACCCCGCCAGGTCCCAGGTCCAGGTCCCAGGTCCAGGTCCCCGTCGGGGGCTGGGGGAGCAGCGGGGGTCTGGGGCGCCTGCTGCCACACTCGGGCATGGTTCTGATTATCGGGGCACAGCCCCGCTCCTGCTCTCTGACCTGAACCCGCAGCAGCCCCGGGGACCCTCAGGCACGGAGAGGGTGCGGACAGTTCACTCCGACACCGAGGACCTCCTTAGATGCCGGCCGGCTCGGCTTGTGTCTGCAGCTGGCTACACACAGTCCCCATCCCTGGCCCTCCTCCCTGAAGATTCTCGCGCCTGTCTTCTCCCACAAACCCCTGTCTCCCGCTCCCCCAAGAGGACCCCCACCCCAGCCCCCAGCACCTCCAGCTCCGTCCATCCACTGCCAGAAACCAGGCAGAGCCACTGCCTCGGACGTTTCGGGTCAGCCGCCGCATAGCCGTGTGTCCCCCAGAGAGGGGTGAGCGGCCCGCTGTCCTGCACACTCCCAGAGCCGCAGGTGGCAGAACCCGGCCCTGAGGGCAGAGGACTTGGGAGTGGGCTCTTCCTGGGTTAGCAGCCGCAGAGCTGCAGGGGCTTGACGGGGGCGGCCCCCGTCCGAATCCAGCAGCGCCGTCCGAGCCCCGCGTCCCTCCCGACCCCCACCGCCGCGGAAACCCAGCCCGCCGGCAGCGACGTCAGGGCTTGATCTTCGCTGAGGAGCGGGGCAAATGCAAACCAAATGTGCGCAGACCGGCACCAGCGGGCTGGGGCCCCGAGGCCGCGTTCCCCCAAGCCGGCACTCGAGCTTAGCCCGTAGGGCGGCCCCCCGGGACAGCGGAGTCCGGCCCTTGCCGCCTCCTCCCACGCCGCCAGCGGTACCCACTTCCCGGCAGCAACTTGAGGGGCCGTTCAAGGGCATCCGAGGCCGAGGGAAGACTGGGTGCAGACGTTTGGTCCTTTTTTGTTGTTTTGTTTTTTGGGTTTTTGTTTTGTTTTGTTTTGTTTTGTTTTAAGACAGGGTCACACTATGCAGTTCAGGCTGGCACTGAATTCACTGTGTACACCAGGCTGGCCTCAAACTCTCAGCGATCCTCCTGCTTCAGCCTTCCAAGTGCAGGGATTGCGGGCGTGTGCCACCACGCCCGGAACAACATTTTCTTCTTTTGACCCCTAAAGTGGGGGTAAGATGCCCAGCAGGGGAGCAGACTTTAGGCAGAATGTGGCCCCCCTCAGAGCACACTTCCTCCGTTCTCCAGTGCTAGACACTTCCCCTCAGCCCCCCAGAGTGGACCCCAAGTGAGTGTGGCCCAGGGGACACGTGTGCTCTGTGAACGCCTCCATCCCTCTGCTCATATCGCACGTATGTTCACACCTTGGTTCAGACACACACACTTGGGTTCATACGCCGGTGGGAGCACACCACCCAAGCATGCATCCCGTCTACACCATCACCAGGATCTGAGCACTCCTCACACTTCCAGCATCACTGTAGCACTTTCACACGTGTGCACACACTCGTGCATGCAGGGACACGCGTGGATCACGGGGGCACCCCTCAGGCACCCAGGGCTACTTTCAGGTACTCCCATGACGGCGCTGAAGCCTGCGTCTGGCATACACTGAGCTCCAAGGGGCCTGAGGTCACAGCAGGGGGCCTTCAGGAAGGGGCACTTCCTACACTGGCCCAGGGGCCTGGGATTTAACCGGCCACCTGCACCACCACCACCCAACGCCCTTGGCAGGGGCCTCAGGAGCGGGGCCTGACTAGTGGCCAAGGGCCGGGAGCCACTCGCTGCCATTTTGTCCTCTATCCCTGGCTGCTGGCAGTGGCACTGCCTTGCACATGGCCACACCCTGTGCCATCCGAGCCAGAGGCTTCCCCAGGCCCGGACCCCCACCCCCACCCCAGGCAGCACAAGAGCTGCGCAGTCAGGGGCAGTGAAACCAAAGCCTGGCGGCCCCTCCGGAGGTTATGAGAGCAGCAGCAGCACCGGGAGGCAGGTAAGCATCCGGGTGGGCAGTCCGGCCAGGCACAGAGGCACCTACTTATAACCCCAACTGCTCGGGAGGCTGAGGCAGGGAGATTGCTAAGTCTGGGCAACCTAGCAAGACTCTATCAGAATAAAATTAAAAGGGCTGGAGGGTGGCTCAGTGCAGAGCACCTCTGGGTCCCAGTACCTCCGAGAAAAAGCCCCATGGGCACAGATGCTAAGTCTACATCAAAGAGAAGGTGTCTCCCCTCCCAAAGCCTCGAGATCAAAGCGCGGCGGCACCTCCACCCCCATCAGGAATCCGGGCGTCCCGCTGCACGACAGGCTGCTGCTCCCCCACCACCACCCCAGCTACGCTAAACCAAATCCAGATGTGGAGCCGCTGCCTGGCGCCCTGCACCGTGCCCAGGGGAGCTGGTCCTGGCCCCGCAGGGGTCTGAGCACCCCGACTCTGCAGACAGGGAGGAGAGCCCTAGTGCCCACAGCCTCTGCCCACAGGCCAAGCCGGGCCCCACGCAGCGCCCTCCTCTTTCCACCCCAGTGGCGTCTCTGTAAATAAACCAGGCAAACACAATGATCTGGACATTTTTGGTTTTGTTGTTTTGTTAAAAAAAAAAAAAGATAGAGAGAAAAGAAAGACATCACAGGCAGCCAGCGGGTCCCCGTCACCTGCCATTCAGCCAAGCTGGAAAGGCCCAGGGACAGGGGGAGGGGCAGGAGAGATGGCGGGTCCCCCAGGAAGTTGGGGTCCCTCTGGTGACTTCTCGGCTATGACTACGAGGAACAGGAGGGCCCCAGCGAGACCCCACCCCCAGCACTCACACACAACCTGGCCACCTCCCGCCCTCCCTGGCTGTGGGCTTCCTCGGACCCCGCCCTCCCCAGCGCCAGCAGTCCAGCCGAGCCGAGCTGACCGTACCCAGGTTGAAGGTGGGTGTCTGCTGGCGGGAGCCACGCCCCTGGGCCACCTGCACTTCCCCGGGACCCCAGCCTCTGGCCAGACGGAGAGGGGGGCAAAGGCAGTGCTCACACCGCTCCCCGTCTCCGAGCCTGGCTTCCTCTCCTGTCTCCTAACGCCTCCCAAGCCTCCATCGAGGGGTCAGAGTGCGCCCAGAACTGAGAACCGGCGCTGGCGCGTAGCGTGTGATCAATACATGTTTTCGGTGGACGAGTGGGTGAATGAATACGTGAATGAATCCAAGATCGAGGTGGAGACACACCAGGGCTCCCCACTGCTGTACTCGAACCTCTTGGGCTATCTAAGCCCCAAAGGTCATTGGGCACACTCGTGTCCATACACACACACACACACACACACACACTCACACACATCCAAGAGAAACTTCTGGGCCGACCCTCCAGCCCCGGTGCTCGGGGCAGCGAGGCACGGAGCCCCTGTCCGCGCCAGGCTCACTCTCGGAAGCTGTCAGCCAGCTGGTGGCAGTCCAGCTCCCCCTTGGCCTCCAGGCCCCCTGGAAGCTTCACGCCCGTCTTTCGGTCCACGCACCAGCATTTGCCACGTTGCCCGTCCAGAGCCGGGTGACACTGCCAAGACAAGGGCACGGGGTCAGCTGCAAGGGGTGGGGGGGTCCAGCGCCCCTCCCCAGCCCAGCCCAGCCCAGCCGTAAACCCTGTACGCCTGAGGCCACAGGGGGCCGGAGCGTGTGAGCACTGCTCCTCCAGGCCCTGCCCAGGGAAGGTGGCCAAGAAGGAAGAGGCAGAGCGGGGACAGGGCCCTAACCACAGGGGTGCGAGGCTGGGGTGCTGCTGGCGACTTTGGGGTGCATCCAGATGGCGCTGGGACTGTGGCCCTCAGCAGGATGGCAGGTCGGGCTCAGGTGCGATAAGCCTGGCAGCTGGCTTAGGACTCCACGCAAACACTGGACTCAGGGGAGGCTTAGAGCGGGTAAAGACAGAAGGTCAGGGTCCGGACAGCCGGCGTCAGGGATAAAGTACATCTTCAGAGTCAGAATTTGAGTTGGAATGCATTTGGCTCAAGGGTCAGAACTGGTCGGGGGGATAAAGGATCGAAAACCACAACTTTCACTTTGCTGAGAACCGGGCGGAAAAGGCCCACACAGATCAGAGAACACACAGTGACCCTGACGTAAATCCTGGAGTTCAGTCAATCACCGTCAGGCAGTGCTGCCCCATCAACTGCATCCCACGTCCCACGCTAACAGAAGCTGCTAGCAGGGGAGACCGAGTCAGGCACTGTGGCGCACGCCTGAACCCCAGCTTCTCAGTGGGCTGAGCAGCGGGAGCCCAAGACCAGGGCCAGCTCGGGCGATTTAGAGACTGTCTCCAAAAAAAAGACTGAGGATACAGCTTAGTGGCAGAGTGCTTAGAGCCCTGCGTTCACTCCCTATAATACTAGTAGTAATAATACTAATAATAATAGTAGTAATAATAATAACAACAATGCATCTATGCATTTGGCAGGATTGTCCCATGCAGCCCGGCCAAGAGGCAGGGTCTGCCACGAATTCACTCAGCGATTTGGGGTCTTCCTGGGCCTCAGTGTCTTCATCTCCTAAAGGGTCGGGCTCGGGGGCCCCGGGGTCAGGTCTGGGCTGGAGACAGCCCCTCCTGAGCCTCCCTCTGAGGGTCTAGTGGAGGCCAGCGCGGGGCGGGGACCCACCTGCTTGGGGTGGAAGTTGCCGTTGCGGTCACAGTTGGGGATGGGGATGATGAAGAGGTCCTCGTGGGTGCGGCTCTGTGAGGCGGCCAGCCGCTCCAGGGCGCGGTGCAGCTCGCTCTGACAGGAGCCCTGCGGCTGGGGCGGGGACACATCCTGCTCAGCAGGGACAGAGACACCAGGGCCAAGGACGCAGGGCGCCAGCCCGAGCTGGGGGACGCCAGCACGGGCGTGAAGCTTGGGGGAGTGGGCAGGGCTGCCAGGCAGGAGGGAGACAGCACTGCGAGAGTGACCTGTGAGGCCCAGGCCTGGGTCCCCGGAAACACCCCCAACCAGGGCACCCGTACGGAAACACTGAGCCCGCCCGCTGCAGGCCGAGCCCGACAAAGATGCGTGTGTGCACGCGTGTGCGGCCCACCGGTCCTCACCACGGGCCGCACGTCCTCCCGGGGCGCCCCGACGACCTTCATCTTGCTCCCGCTGCTGCTCCGGTCACGTAGCTTGGCCAGGTGCTTCTGCAGGCACCTGCGGTCCTGGGCGCCGCAGGGGCTGAAGCTGTTGTTGGGGTGCTCGCCCTCATCCTTGTCTGCAGAGGGCCGAGGAGGGCAGAGGTCAGTGGCCGGAGGGACGGGGCTTCGAGCCGCCCCACCCCGCCCTGGCCGGCTCCCCCTGGGGTCCTCCGGCCTGGCACAGGGGATGGCAGGGAGCCCGGGGCAGGAGGACAGAGAGCAGCCCGGCTCCGCCCTACAGCCCGAGCGCCTCGGGGTAACATTCCTCTTGCAGTCCTGGGCTCCTCCCTCACCCTACCCAGGCCAGCCCTCGGATGAGTCACCAGCTGCAGGAGGGTCCCCTGGGCCCTGCAGGGAGGTCTGAGGCTGGTGGGTGGGGCTGGGCCTACTGGATCTTGTCCGCTGTCCTGGCCTCTCCCTACCCTTCTCCCAGATGTTTCACCTTCCCGTCCTGCCTCTGGAAGGCTCTCCCGGCAGCCTGGGTGGGAGTCATTGCGCACACTTGCTTGCACGGGGAAGTGTGTGCGTGTGTGTGCATGTGAGTGTGACACCCGGCGTGGCCCCAGGACCAAAAGGGCCATCACACAGCCCCCAGCCCTGGACCCCTAACTCTCACCCCAGACGTCAGTCCCCACGCGCATGTGGGGACACAGTGGCAGCTCCCCCCCTCCGGAGACCCCCACAGGCGCTCTCAGCTCCAGAGCAGCCAGGAGTCCCGGCTCCTCCCACCGCAGCCAGCACGGGCACGGGGCTGCGCCCGAGACATCAGAGCCACCTCTGAAACGCTGGCTTGGCAGCGCGCCGCAGGCCTGAGTGCCGAGCCCCTGCCAGCAGCATTCCAGATGTTGGCAGCCGGACAGGAGGTTACATCTGGTTTGCGTCAGGACTTTTTTTTTCCTGAGGAGTTAGCAGGTTCCTCCATGCGTGGCAGGGCTCCCAGAGCCGCCTCTGGGTCAAACGGTATTTTTCTGCTTAGCCAAAGCTGGGGGTTGGTTCTCGTTTTGCCCTTCTTGTTCAGGAGGAGTGGGTGGACGCACAAAGATAAAGGGCAACCAGGTAAGCAGGACGCTAGACCTTCCCAGGCTCAGCCGAGAGCCCACAGCGAGGATTACGAATGCACCACTCCCCGGGGACGGGAGGTTTTGTCACAGAGGAGCTCCGGGTTAGAATAAAGAGGAATGCATACTACCCACCCCGCTGCCCCGGGTGAGGCTGGCAGGGTCACCAGGACACGAGTGCAGGGGCCCCTTCCCACCTCGAGAGCCTCCCCCTGCTGCGTCTGCCTTCATTTCACCCCCATGGAGGAAACCACACTGTGCTGCTGCTTCCTGTTGATAAACAAGCAGAAGGAGTTCAGGCTCCAGCTCAGGATTAAGGAAGACTCTTTAAGGAGCCACCCACCCTGGAAGGGCAGGGCCTCAGCACAGGGAGGCCCCAAGCGCTGAGCAAGCTACAGGCAGGTGCGGTGGCCCACGCGGGTCATCCAGGCGCCTCGGAGGCTGAGACGGCAATTACCGCGAGCTCAAAGCCAGCCCGGGCTCCACAGAGAGTTCAAGGTCAGCCCAGACTACACAGTGAGACCCTGTCCCTAAACAAAACAGAACTGAGCAAGAGGTAGGGGAGAGAGAGAGGCCCAAGCACAACCTGCTGCCCAGGGCGACCCCCCCCCCTTTGCTATAAGGGGAAGCGCACAAACACCCACCCTCCAGGATCATCCGAGGATATTGGGGTGTTCAGCATTACAGAGGATGGCTCTGCCGAGAGCGAGGGGTTCCTGAGACTGAGGGCTGCCTAGTGCGTGCTCTGCTTCGGGGACCGCCCTGGGTCACACGGACAGCCTGTCTGGCCTCCCCAGTGCTGGTGCCCCCAGCCCACTGGTCCCTAGATGATGTCTGAACTTAGCAGATCGGGAAGGCGTGCCAAGTTCAGACATCATCTAGGGGCACCTACACAGACAGCTGGCACCCGGGAATCACAGACAGTGAGGTGTGCAGACGTCAGGGCATCCACACACGCGCACCCCACACTCTGACCCCGTCCTGCTCGGACTTGACCCAGACCCGAGGCCCAGCGACCTGGCCCGCCAGCCTCTCGGCACTTGTGCCGACTTTCCACATAGACTTGCACTTGCCAGCCGCACTCCGGGGCAGGACCCACCCTGGGCAGCGGGTTTGGGGATGAGGGTGGGAGCGCCGGGTCTCTGGAAAACATGACCCTCCCAGGCCGCTCCCCAGGCCACCCCAGTGCCCTGTCCCCTCTGAGCAGGAACTGGAGTGGGACCCCTTCCGGGGAGGTCTGACCCTAGGAAGCTGCAGTGGGACGCAGGGCTTCCAGGGTGGCCTGGCTGGGAGCTGGGCCAACTGCCATGGGCCCAGGGGAGCTGGGCTCTGCACTGGATCGGGCAGCGGAGGGGCGAGGAGCTCTGAGCAGAGAGGCCACGCCGCGCGGGCAGCAGCAGCTCCAAAGTTCCTGCTGCCCGACTTCACCCCCAGACTTCTCACTTCCAGCTTGGACCCCCGTGGTCACGCAGGCTCGGAGCTGGGCAGCCCGCCCTGTCCCAGAGGGTCACGCCCTCGCCCTGCCAGGAAGGCCTTTCCTCGCCTCCCCCTGGGAACCTCCCCCACGGGGTACCAGGCCCTGTCCCAGAGGTCTGCTCCAGGGGGGTCCCCTCCTGTCGCCGCCAAGGCAGGTGGCTCCACCCACCCTGCACATGCAGCAGCAGAAGGCACCAGGGTCAAGACCCTCTCTGCTCCCGACCGTCTCCCCAGCCCAGGGCCTCGCGCAGGCTGCCCACGGCTCCAGCCCTGCACTGCAGCCCAGCTCCTTTGTCTGCGAAGGGAAGGACTTCTGACAGCCGGGCTTTGCCCACAACGAGGAGGAAGCAATGCTGGGCGCCGTGCTCCTCCTCCCCGCCCCAAAGGCACAGGCTTTCTGGGAAGGGCCCGTTCCCAGGACCCGACCGGATTCCCAGCACTGAAGCAGGGAGGACAATATTTGCTGCGCTGACTAAAAATTAACCCAGCCTGTCTGTTCCCTCGCGCTGTCCCAGAGGGACCCTGGGCCCGGGTTGGGAACTCCCCGTCCCCAGCAGAGTCGAGGGTCAGTGCCATGCTACCCAACTGTGTGCCTCTGACGCACAGGCCCGCCCCCAGCTCGAGTGGCCAACAGTGGAGAGGACGGGGGCATCCGCCCCTGGGGCCAACGGGCAAGGAGGGCACATGACAGGTGACCTGTCCACCTGCCCTGGCCACCGCCCTGGCCACCTGCTCAGGCTCAGCCCTGCAGGAAAGGGCAGAAGAACAGCCTGACCTCTGCCAAGCTATTCCAGGCCAGCGGGCCCGAGCCCAGGGCCGGGAGGAAAGGTGGCCTGCCGCAAGCATAAAGCTAGAGAGGACCATGAGAGACAGGCATGGTGCTGCACGGTAATCCCAGCACTCTGCAAGGCTGAGGCAGGAGGATCACAAGTTCAAGCCCAGCCTGAGTATAGTGACTTGGTGAAACCTTACCTCAAAACTAAAAATTAAAAAAGAAAAAGGGCTGGGGATGTAGCTCAGGGTGAAAGCCCTGGAGTCAGTCTGCAGTGCTAGAGAGAGGGGCAGACAAGGTCAGTGAGGACAGGGCCTGAGCCCACCGGGCACACTGCAGGGTCACCGCACAGCTCTAGGGCTACCTTTCCCGTGACGCAGCGCAGCCCGCCCCACGCTCAGGGGAGCCTCTGTGACAGCTATCAAGGGAGAAGGCATGGGGGGAGCTTGCCAAGAAGGAAGTGGGTTCTGCTGGGGTCCTCCCGGCTTCGCCTTCTCCCTCTCCAAAGGCCTGCGCCAAAGCACAGGCGGAGGACAAGGCCAGGGTAGGGGCTCCGTCACCCAGGGGGGACCTACCGCCGGCCATCCCTAGACCCCTCTTGTGGCCAGTTTGCATTGTATCCCCAGGGCTGTTCGTGCCCCGCCCTCGGGGCTCCTGGGGGACCTGATTCTCCTGCCTGAGCAGGGAGGGCATGGCCGAGTTTTTCTGCGTCTGCTCAAGTTGGCACCAGAGAAGGCCACCAGCCACCCCACCTGCTGCCTGACCCCCGCTGGCGGGAAAGTGGCCCCACTGTACCCCCAGAGCCCGGGGCTCAGCTCTTACAGCCTGTCTACTGCCACTGGCATCTGTGCCCCAGCACCCTGGTCTCGCTCCCCTGGAAGCCCCTTGCCAGAAATACCAGGTGCCGGGCTGGCGCTTCTCCTAGAATGCTTTCTGCTGAGCCATCTCTGCTGCCCAGGGGCAGGAAGGGCAGAGCAGTCCAAGGCCCAGACCCCTGGGGTCCGCTCCTTCCTGTTTTCCGCATCCTGCTCTCTTCGGCTAACGAGCTGCAGAAGATTGAGGAAGTGCCGCCGTCCTGACCGGGGCAGGAAGCTCGGCCGGAGTCCGGCATCCGGACGGCAACAATGGAAGCTCCCGGCAGCAGGGAAGGAAAGAAAGACCCGGAGCGGAGAGAGAGGTGCATGCCCGCCCGGAAAGATGGAAACTGCGAGGCTGACAGAGCGGGAGATGCAGAGCGGGAGGTGCGGGGATCGGGTAGAGACAGCAAGGGAGGAGGTGTGGACGCCGAACGTCAGGGTGAGGTCTGAGGCTCAGCAGCTCCCAGGAAGCCGCGGAAGGACAAAGGGGGCCGAGACACGTGCCAAAGGCAGAGGAAGTGTGCGGAGAGGAGGGCGAAGGGTCTTCTACCAGTCTGTCCTTGTCCCCGCCCCTGTCCCCTCGGAACACCCCTGAGGCTTCTGCAGCACGGGTGCGTGGTGGGACATCTCTCCTGCGACCTCGGGTGGCACGGAGAGGAGGAGGACGCCAGGCTGCGCAGACCGGAGACCCCGGCCCTTCCGGCCGGCACACAGCAAGGCTCCAGAGAGGGGCCGGCCCGCCCGCTCCGCCAGCGCCCCTCCGGTGTGTGTCCCAGCCCGCGGAGGTGGGAGGGCCCAGGCCCGGGCTCCTCAAGCTCCTGGGTTTCACCTCCAGCCAGAGTGGGGGGCAGGAACAGAAAGCGGCCCCACCCCCACCCCCTCGTCCTCCAGTTCTGGCCCCGGACGGACGGCGGGCTCAGCGGACGGGGCTCCGGCGCGCGCTCCGCCTCAGCTTCAGCAGCCCGGCCGCCCAGCCGACCT